TGTTTAAACTGTTTAAATAATGGTTATCAAAATCACTTTGTTGTTGTTGTCGTCGTCGTTGTCAGCCATTAAACAGAGAGAGTGTGATTGTTCTTGTTTTCCAGTGGCGCCATCTATAGCCAAGAATTTGACTTCTGCCACACCCATACGTCCCACTCGTTTCTAGGGCGAACCCATTTATTCGTCCACGGATCGTAATTTTGACCTGAACCGGAGAATGATCATTCTCCAATTCAGCACCCCCAGAGATATTGGTTTGCTATGGGAACATGGAGAAATTTGTAACCAGACATATTTAACGTGCACCAGGTACCATTTACTACATGTGGAGTCTTCGGCCGGCTGGATTCGAACTCCCGTTCTCACAAACGTGAGTCCAGCGCCCTGCCAACTAGGCTATCCCGGCCATCAAAATCACTTTAATTTAAATATATTAAAATAAGAATCAAGTAGGAGTGTAAAAAATTTCTTACCACATTAAATATAGAAATAAAATATTATTCAAAATTCGAAAGAATTGGCAGGTATGGGTCAGTGCCACTTTCTGTGGCAGGCCCCGAGATTTTGCATCCATCGGAGGCAGAGAAATTTTTAACTTAGAGAAAAATTAACTAAAGTTATTATATTCTAAGGCTTCTACCCATCCGGAAAAGATTAGAAGCTGGCAGTAAGAACGCTTTATTTTAATCCTTCCTACAGGAAAATAATATTTACCAAAGCTATCACTATTTATTAATAAGTATTAGGTTGCTGTAAAAAAGTTCTGCAACACTTGGGAAATATGTTTATAGCTACAACACTTGTTTATAGCTACAACGAATCTAAACCCGAAGTTTTTATCCAAAGTCATTTAGAGCTTATTGGTGAAAATTTAAGCTAAGAACACAAAAAAACAACAACACAAAATGAGAATTCATGAAAGTTGAAATTTTCGCATGCGTTGCAGAACTTTCTTTACAACCTAATAAGAGATACATGATAAATGCACCTTTGTCATAGCAGTTCCTATGTTGTAATAGTCAGAAAAAGTTGAAAAGTTCTTATAACCGTTTTTTTATACTTTTCCAGAGAAGTATCAACTCTGATGTTCTAAAGCTGTTATTTACTCTAAATTGTATGATATTCTAAACTATAATAATATTTAAACTATATAATTAAACTATATGATAATTATTCGAATTTTAATTGTAATAATAATATAATTCTAAACTATATAAATTCTGTTACTTTTCATTGTGAAGAGGTAATCATTCCTGGTTGTCATGCTTGACATATATGACGCAAATTAGTTTCACTTTTCTGGTTAAGTTTCTTTTTTTTTTAATACTTTTTGCGCAGTAAAACTAAATGTAACTTAAAGTAAAAATAGGATCCCATTTCGCAAAGTACTTAAAATTAAAAAAATTCCCATAAATTGGAGTTTTTAAAAGAAACCACAACAAAAAAGCTTGTGTTAAATTTATAAACAAAAAAGGGCTCTTTATGGACAAACTTCAACTCCAGAGTTGCATTACTGTCACCTGTATAACGACTCGCATGGTATTTTTTTCAAGTTCAACCATAAATAACTTTCAAACTAATTGCTACAAGTTAATTTTTTTTTATTCAAACGTACTCTCTGTACATTTTTCACGCACTTTGCAATTTCAGTCTTTCAGTTTTTACTCAGCAAAATAAAATGTAACGTAGAATTTGAACATACAAACAAACAAAACAGCAGCGTTAGTTTTTCAGTATTAATAATAAATAAGATATTTTCAGCAAATGCCAATGAATGCCATGTCTTCCAAGTCGGTATGTACAAAAAATTCAGGATAATGTTTTGCATAAAAAGTGGTAATTAGTATTTGAAGAAAGTTATTTTAAGTTCCTCATATTAGATGTTAATGCTCTTGTTAATGCTCATAAATTTTTATTACTTGGTTAATCTCAAGTATATCATTTATGAAGTTACTTTTCAAATCATGAAGTAACTTTTTCCTTGCTTTAAATGTGAAAAAAGCATTGTTCTGGATTTTTAGGACAATTCTAACTCCGGATTCAGGAAAAGTACAAATGAAAAAGTTGGAGACGCAAGTATTAAGGCATTTTAAGCAAGTCTTTTGTTTGTATATTATCTTTTTCTCGTCGGTTTATATTTTGTTGATATTGTGACTTATTCATAACATGTAAAGTACAACACGAGAATCTCATGAGTTATAATAATATTTGTCGCATAATAATATAAAACATTTACCTATGAAACTAATTTCTCTTGAAGTTATTTTTAAAGCTTGGTTTAACAGGATTTAAACCGGATGAATGAAACTTTAAGTGGGAAGAAATGAAAACATTTTAACTGCCTTTCAGACTTTTTTTGAAAATCTTCAGAGTAAGACGGCGTATTAAATATTTAAAAAATGTTTTCTAGTTGTAAAATAGCTAGAGACAACACATTCTTATTCGAATGTCACCAATAGGTGTTAAAGGGCGGAGTTCTGAGACATAAGAGGAATGTCACGGTAAAATCACGATTACAAACACAGTTAAAAAGCGCGCAGCGTTACCGATTTGACACCCAGACAATACCTGATTGTTTTGGTGTGAAAGTGGTGACCCATTTAAGTATTTTTAAAAAGATATTTCCAATTGCTTGAAATTGCTATTCTTATTTTTATAATGAACGAAAAATAATGTGTTTTTAAACTATTCGTAATACTACATGCCACGCCGTTCAACAATGAAATTGTAAGTTAGGGAGAGAAAAAATAGAAGTCGTTCCGTAATAATTTGATTCTAAATCCGAAAATAAAGGTTAATAATTCGTGCTTTAATTTAATTAAAAAAAGAAAACAATAATAATTTTTTGAGTTTGTAGTTTGAAGTTTTTTTTATTGAAGTTTCAAAAATCTATTTAATAAAAATAAAACCTAATTTCATTTAAAGAGAAGAGGGGACCAGCTCCTAGACCACATTAATCTCACATCATCAGGGTTAGAGTGGTCTAAAACATATGGTGAAACATGTATTAAAACATGTAACCCCATGTCATGGGGTTAGTAAGGACATTTAATCTATTGTGAGTTAAAAAATGGAGATAAAATCAAAATGAAACTAATTTTAGTCTAAAAACACAATTTTGAAAAAATAATCTCAAATATGCAGAATATAATACAGAAATGCCAACTACTCAGACTTTTTGAAAAAGTTTTAATAAATCGGGTGTGAATTACAAAGTAAAATTTGTAAAATAAAGATAATTATGCGTACTTTTTAAAAGAGAAACCACGAAATTAAAGCAGTAAGGTTGCCTTTCATGTGATACTTCGGATTATTGATAAGTAGCGTTGAAAAATATATTGAAAAAGAAAATTACTAAACTCAAAATTACTAAAGTTTCGCACCCATTAGAAAATACTTTTTTGCAAAGCGGAATAAGTTATCATCTCTGATAATANTAATGTGATAATATGTAGAGGTAATTTTGTCCTGCCTTGCTCAGTAAATTTTGTCATCTGCGTAACTTTTTTCGGAGTGAATCCATATAATATGAGGTTTTGTTTCACTTGTTCTTCTGTAATTTCTACCGGAATACTTTTAATGACAACTCTGATTGGCTTTTCTTCATTTAATTGGAAAGTATGGTATTTTATCTGTAAGTCATCTAGTATATCTATGGTACGACGCCTATGAAGGTAAACCAGTTTACGAAAGAGCTATTTAATAGAAAATATATTAAAAATTAGAAACTGGTAGCAAATGTGTCTAAAAATTTGTTTAATTTATGAATAGGATTGGCTAGTCTGTCTTATTCACTTGTCAAACACTGCAAATTCAATTCTCAAATATATATGATAAATTTCTTTTAAGCAATTTTAAAATAAAATTTGGGTTCATGCGCTCAACTGGATCACTTTTTAAATAATTTGCGCAGACTACTTTTAAAATCCCCTGTAGCGGCTTTCGGGCTGTGGCGGATATAGTAGGTAATGGGTGCAACACACCGGAAATAAGACTTCGCTGTGCCTTATTTTTTAATTCATAAACTTCAAAATTTTTTAAAAGAGATGAAAATTAAAAATTCTTAATAAGATTTCTTTTATGTTTACTATTAAATATGAACCCTGAGAATGTTTTTATTTAAACATGAATAATTTGAAGTGTAAGTTTAGCCATAGTTAGTAGTTTTTAAACGATTCTCCAAAAAAATTTGAAAATATGGTTCATTATCATAGTTGCCTCAATTCCAGTATATCTAACACAGACTTCGAGCTGCATCCATTTTTTTAAACACGTATTTGGAGCTCTTATGGGTTTAATTCATCAAGGATTGGATGTACTGTTTCTCAGCACAGTAATCAGTATAAAACATTATTTCATAACGAAACTAAAAATTTTTGATTTAATGATAATAATTACAAATACATGTTCGGTACCTTAGTACTGAATGTGCTTTTCGATCACTAAGTTATGCCATCTTTCCTCGTTCTTATATTTTTCTTTTTTTTCACTTCGTATAAGCTCAAATAAATTAATTTAATAAGTTGAAAATATTTTCAATAAAAATTAAAATTTAATACTCTAACCTGTCACCCTTCATTCTCATCCGAAAAACCGTGCTTCCTTTCTATTAAATTTGCGTACTTCTGCTTCGATTTTCGGAGTCTCAGAGGTATTTTACAGCCAACCACAGAAACTGCTCCCACACTGACGACATGATAATGCCTCACTGATGACGCTGCCCCGTAGGCCAGTGCTTCCATTTTTGTTTCTTTTCTTTGCTCTTTCTTTAGTAGATATTTTTCTTTTAGGTAGAGTTAAGATGCTGTTTGGATTATTCACGATTTCCCGTTATGCTGCGGTGGGATCATTCCTACTTTAATGTTATTTATCGAATTTATGTTAGATAATTAATTTATTTAGATTTATAATTTCTTCATATAGATAATTAAACTTTGACAGCTTGCATAAAATATGTAACTTTTTAATTATATCATGAAATCTAATTATATCCTTTCCAGGCGCTATCATGGCTGCAGCCCTCAGATGCCAAAGAAGTTGCCAAGAAAGCCACATTAGATCCAGGTACTATACAAATGCTGAGCAACATCCTGGACTCTCTAGACAATTTTCGAAACGACAGGTTGAGAGACCTGGAGAAAATCAGGCTGACAGCGCCTGCGGGGAATGTGTCTATTGTGAACCTCACGGAACCCATGTCGTTGCCTTCAGACAACAGTTCAGTGTCTGAACACATCAAAGCACTCAAAGAAGGAATCATGGGACACAATCCTGTCAAGAAAACATTCGGATACAAAGTCACTGTTTATACAACGCCCATAGAGAGTGACAAAAAAGGTAATGAAAATACCTTGCTAATAAAACATGTAATATGTTCTTTACCACTATCTAAGAAACAACATGTGCTGTCAACCTGGAATTATTAGCTGTCCGTGATATTTATTGGGTTAGGGAATTAACAATTAAAAAAGCTATTGTTTAAAAAAAATTCCCGCCATTTAAATGCGTTGCATCAGGAATTTTGCACATATCTTTGAATTATTTAAATGCCGTTGCGGTCAAACTGTTCTTAAACATTTCACGGAAAAACAAATTTTGATCGAAAATTTTATGTCAAGCAGAACATTTTGGCAAGTGCGACCTTATACAGTGCGTTACAGACAGAGTCATAGTTTGAAATTTCTCAAGGCATTTAAGCCCCGAAGGTGCCTTTTACCTTTTGAGTGACATTTCAGAATATGGACCAAGTAGGTATTGTTCCGAAGGCTGTAGTAATTAGTTTATTTATATTATTGTTCCTCTTCAGATTTTTATTAATTGTGAGGCCCGAATATGTGGCAGTCTAACAATAGGTATTTCATTTCCGATTTCCAGTTATTCTAAATGTAAAGTGTTAAAGTTTCTCTGTTTTTTTTTCTTCAAATTTTGAGCAAGAAGTTTGACCTTCCAGTTATAGCACTAAGTTTCAAATTCATGAATTTTAAATTAACAGTGCATTTTAAGTAAAGCGACTTACTTTAGCTCTTAGTGATTTACAAAATAAAGAGGCAATAAGTTTAAAGGCAATTAGTTTTACATTACTAGTGGTTTGAATTATTTGTTGAATTAGTGTTGCCAGACTGGCTACACCACATCAAATGTTAAAGAGATAATGCTATTTCCTTAATTTGTAAAATATCACCGGATAAACGTTAGTAAGTTCTCAAACTTCTCCGAAGACTTTTTTTGACTATTAGAAGTAGTAGCAGAAAAATTTATGCTTCAACAATGACATGAATGCAAACGATTTTGCTTTTAGCAAAGAGCATAAAAATATGTCAAACTATACATGACTTCATTATAGTTAACTTTTTTAGCTTTGGTATGGACTGGCAAAATGCGTATTATATCGAGTTGTGAATTATTGGATGCAGTGGTAGCTAATTTAAGTTAATCAAATTTCAGTTAATCAAATTAAGAATTATTCATTAACTTATGAATTTTGCTATCACTAAAAGAATGTCCACAAAATGGAGCGAATTGATATCTGTGCATTTGATTTGAAAGCATTTTTATTAGCACGACATTTTAATAACTTAAAGATCTAAATAAATGATCGATTATGTGTGTTGAAATATTTTGAATTACTTCTTAAAATCATTTGCTTAATTAATTATCATTTCAATACGATTTTAATTAAGCATGAGTTGATATTACACTTACAGATTCTACAAAAATAGATATCACGCTTATAGTTGATATTACACTCCCTACTAACACTTCTATACCAACTCCATATTAACAGTTTTTCTTTTAATTGAAAAAATATTTTCAAAATTGTAATAGCTAAAACATTTTATAACTGTCGTTGAACAGTAGACCCAATTTTGGGTATACGACTACCAATGTTTAATTCCGAAACCTTGTAATTTTGAACACAATCCAGAAGATAAAGAAACTAATGGATCATGTATGGGGAGAAATTTGACTTTTTTGATGGAACTAACCCGCATTTGCGTTACATGGAGAGGAAAGCCACAAAAACCTTCCACGGTAAGCCTTACGGCAAGGGGACTCCAACCCACGATACGTTTACCTCTGACGATATTTTACGTCAACACCGTGGTCGGTGCGAGCCGGGTGCGGAATTCGTATTGACCAGCCAACGCTGGGATTCGAAACCGGTTCACTTTATTGGAAGGCGAATGCTCTATTCCCTGAGCCATCATGGCTCTTGCTAAAACATTTTCTAAATCCAAACATGTAGTTTAATAATGAACAGATTAAACACTTTTTTTAGATCCCTGGGAGGCTCTGCTCCCGCTTCGCTTCGCTCACCAGACCCTGTGGTTGCTTCTCATTCATCATTGAAGATAAAGAGAGAAGAACCATTTATGTCCAATTTTTTAAGGAAAAAAAATATGATTGAATTGCCATCTGCTGCCTTTTGAGGATGACTAAATTTTGGCAAATGAATAACATGGAAAATCGTTACCTCCACCTTCTTGAGAGTTATGAGTCAACGAAGATGGGCCGTGATGTGGAAAAACAGGCATGCGCAAATTCGTTTTTTTCTTCTCAGAATCAGCTTTAATAGACATAAGCCGCTTTTCACCCCTGATCTTTCTTAAAAATCGAAAAAAAAAGCTAATTTTGTTTGGAAAACATAGAGTTATTTTAATTTTATGTAAGCAATTTTATTAATATGTGAATCGTTACAAAATGAAAGGATAGCTGGATTTGTAAAATAATTAAATGTACTTAAATGTGTATAAAATTAAGGATTTGGACATGCGACACAAGCAAGACACAATAATAATGTGAAAAGTAATTTTATAACGAACAATATAAAAGATAACCTTATATCATATAACAATTCACATTGGAAACAGTTTTTGCCTCTCTTCATTCTTTATATTTTTAAAAATTTCGAAATAAATCTTAAGATGTATATCTAGCAGCATTTAATCTATCTCTTATATTTTATTTATTCATTTTTTTGCTACTTTTAACATCAAATCGAGCATATAAAATGAAAATAGTGAGAGATAAATTTTTCTACAACAAATAACTATTATTTAAAAAACAAAAAACAAAAAAGGACAACTCTGTATGGAAAAAAATGGTAGAGCAGACTTATTTCCAGATCAATAGGTACCAGCTTGTCTGGAATGTAAAGGCAACCTGTGAAAAGCTGGCCAAATTACCGATGGTATTATGCCGGTGGTTTTGATTTTGTGATGCCTTAACCTCCGTGACTTTCCTGGCTCACAGCGTACTGTTACAGGAATACTTTACTTTTACATATTTGTTTGTAAAGCGGAAATTTCTTTATGTTGCCCACTACTTGATTTTTAAAAAAGAACTTTGCAGATCCAAATATTATGGAAACCATTTCAGTTGTCAACATCACAACAAACAATATACATATTCTCAATAATACGTGGCAGACAGTACTGTGTACTTTTTTAACCGCCGTTAAACAGCCGACGTAACTTTGAGTTTACGACCACCAATGTTCAACTCCGAAGCCTTGTAATTTTGACCCTAATCAAGAAGACAAGGGAACACCATGATCAAGCTTTGGGAGAAATTTTGTCTTTGTGGTAGACTTTATGATGGAACTAATTCACCATTGCGTGGAGAGGAAAGTCACAAAAACCTCTAACTCTAACCCATAAGGACTCTAACCTATGATCCGATTAACGCTTCGTTCTGCTTTCGGTCTGGTTTACTGGTCGATAAATGCTCGGGCCCTCGCGTTTTAGCACTAGATTATGTGACTATTCTTTTTTTTTTCTTTCAATATTTTAAATTTAGACAACAGAAAAATTTATACACATTGCTCTCATAATGGCAAACTTTTTTTACTGTTTGGTTGCCGACTACTGTTGTATTACTGCTGCCCTAAATAAACATGCGTTAAAACAAATTAGATTTTTCATGATTTTTTTTACGGAATTTAGGGTAGGATATTTAAAAAAAAACAACATTATTTTTGTATTTTTTTTAATCCGAAAACAACGATCTTATCTCAAGTTCAAGTCGAAATGTATTTACAAATATAATAAGTTACATTTTGTAAATAATCCAGGAAAAACATTCGATAAAAAATGTCTCTTTTGCCGCTTGGTAGCCATGCGAATAACAGTAGAAAAACAAATAAACAAATCAAAGCAAAAAGCTGGAAAATAACTTCCGCCACTATTTCAGCCCTAAATGACACGTCAAATTTCTCTTTTTTTATTGTCTGCTTTTTCATTTAATTAAAATAATAATTATAAAAATACGATACATAGACAAAAAATTGAATTCCAAGGTTTACCGACGTATCTCTTGGTTCATTGGTGACATGATCAGATCGTTTTTGTTTCATAAATTCCCATTGAAGAATTTTGTTTCTAGAACAATTTTTCTACAACTATCTGCACATTGTAGATCAAAATTAAATGCTTGTTGAAGTCTCAACGGTCCGTTAAACATACCCACTTAAGCTTCCTGCGGACACTCGAATGTAAGATAATGTTCCAAAGTTCTACCAAGGGTTGGTTCTACGAGTCCTCGATCTCCTCAAGCGTGGGAAAAAGTCTCGAAAATGTTTTTTTTTTTGCTTCAAAAGAACGAAAAAAACGTGCACACTCTCACTTTTTTTGATAGTTATCTTGTTGGTGACAACATTTTTTTTCACAACCGTGAAATTAGATTTGTGGTGTAAATGAGAAGAAAAAAAATGATCTAGTTTTTATTTTAAATGTAACATTTTATGTAAACTTAATTTAAACATTGTAATTATGATGTAATTTGTCACTGCAGTCTACGCTTGATATGACAAACCAAGTCATACTGGCGTAATACCATTATGTAGTTATATAGTAAGAACTATGCAACTAACAAAATAATTAATAATAATGCAACTTGTTTCTTATTATGTTACTGGTAAGCAAGAATAATGGAGAATATTGAACTAAGAATAAACTTTTGTTCTAACATTCGGATCTTCACGTTTTAGGACTCAATGGTTCGACTGGTGATCTCACATATGATAATTAATTAGTTGCAGACGATATTTTAAGTTACGTAATTGATATTTTGACGCCCGGTGGCTGAGCGGTAGCACTTCGCGCTGTCGTGCCACAGGTCCCTGGTTCGATCCTCGGGCCGGACAAGGTTGACTCAGCCTTTCATCCCTTCAGTGGGTCGATAAATGAGTACCGAGCATGCTTGGGAACTAAACACAGGGGGTTTCGCGTTCGGCTGACCACCTGACCGGAACATCTGCTCCTGCACCCCAGAGCCCAAGGTCAAGAAAACTGAGATGGGCACAGTAGGCCTTGGCCCTCTATGGGCTGTCGAGTCACTGAGTTTTTTTTTTAATTGATATTTTAAGACACAAAATTGAATATTTTAAGATACAAAAATTGTACTTTCTTTGAATAAACACACCTTTTTTTCCCCGAAGGATTCAGATTTCTGACCCTAGAACTATAAGGAGGGTCCCAATAGTTTGGTCAATAGAATGGTCGAAAGTTTAGAAATCTTAGCGTTTTTTTTTTTTTTGCGAATTTAATCCTATTTCGAGAAATTTTCAAGCGATTTGGAAATTTTTGCACACAATTATGAAATTTATTTTTCTAAACGTAAAAAAATAAAAATAAAAATGTCGTAATATATACTTATTATCTTTTTTTTACTTTATTAGTGAAATCGATCCTAAGAAATCGAAATACGACCATCAATCCCTTGGGGACGAGTGATTCAGAAAAGCATTCGTACAAAATCAGAATCATGTTGTAATTAAATTAAAAACGGTAACTTAAATGTAGTCGTTGCTAATTTGACAGACTTACTTTGCTTTTACTTTAATTATTGTTAGTTTAATCAGATATATAATCAATGTTAATTCAAAGTATAACTAAATAGTTTTATTTTGAGCAAAGTAATGGTGAATTAAATAAATCAAACAGTTATAACTCCACCCACAAATAAACTGCTAAAGAATTACTTTGATTACCCGCTTTATCTTTTTACCCTGGTTGATACGGCTGTATGCTGGTACGTATTTGTGACAGTCGACGCGAAAGGGTTAAGACTGAATCCTAGGAACGTGAAGCTCTGATCATCAGAGCTTAGTTTTTATTTATTGTAAATCATGAACTGTATCTTTAGAGAAAAGAAATGAGTCAAGTTAGCGTTAGCGTTGGAATTAGTTACGAATGAAGAAATTACTAGATTAACGATACAGAAGTTGTTTGTATGATAGATAACATGAAGAACTGGTCAAATTGCTGATGGAAAAGATTTTGTACCAGAAGAAAGAGGAAAAATAGCAAAAATAAATGAAAGTAAAGTAAAAGGAATCGGAAATAGAGGCAAAGAAGACTCAGAAATTGAATTCAAAACATTAGAAACTGAAAAGAGAATACGACAAATGGAAGACGAACACGAAAAACTAAAGAAAGCATACAAACGAGCTACAAATATTAAGAATTTCTTGTTAAAAATGGGTCATATTCCAAAGTATTATCGATGGTTATACGAAACTAAAGAAACATTAAACATTATAAAATAAAGTTAATTTCGCAATTCACATCATCCGTTAAATAAACCGGCAAGTTCAATAGTGCCAGCTCTACCAGACGTGGCGAGAATTTTAAGTGTCGCTAATACCCCAGACCAGTAGAGTGGAATTAGAAAATGAGACAGATAGTGAAGAAGTGCTTACGGAAATTGTTTCAGTGAGCAACGCAGACCTATCAATATAGGAAAGAATTAGAGAAGTCAGATGAAAACACTGTAAAGTTTCTTTTCCAAAAAAAAAAATTAGACAATAACCATTTTGCCAGTGGGTAACCTGTGATCGTCATGCGGCGACCACAGTTTTCTTCATTTTGTAGGGAATCGTATTTTATATTTTTTTGTATATTGTTTTAGTTTATACACATATTAGAGCCTTATGAGAAAACTTAACAATTTAAATGTTGTTGGATTTTGGCTATAAGGTATTTATGCAGTGCATTATTATAATGATATTTAGTCGGCGCTCACTTATATCACTACCTTTATACGATTCGCGATTTTTTCTTTCCACTGCCCACCCGATTGGCACTTAGATAGTGTAAAGAGTGAAAGAGCATTCATGCCTTGTCCGGTATTCGAACCTAAGACCTTTCTGATGACAGGTGTCAGCTCCCTGACCACTGCACAGTCCGGACGGGCCGATTCATGATTACAAAGGTGGTCGAATGGAGGACGAGACACAAACGAACTCTTCAGTGGGAAAAAATTGTCCAGGAAAGACGCGTATTTTTCGTTTGGTGGCGAAATTTTGTTGTTTTGTTTAGCAATCAGAAACATCAGAGAAAAAGGAAATGAAGGTTAGTAGATGGAGTAGGGAGATCAGATATCTCAGAGAGGGATATATATGATCAATGACGTAAATAGGATAAGTGTTTTTCTGTTTGATGTGAAATGTTGTGAATCGTGAATTTTTATTGATGGCTAGATTCGTTTTTTTTCTCATTTTTTTTTTATGAAAGTTTTAAATTTATTTCTTGCTCAATGCTTATTTCTTGCTTCAATTGAATCATCATTATCTCCTTTGAACAGTCAGTTTAAGCAATGACATTTGAAGCAATGACAATTTCAGTTTTTTTTGTGTTTGTTTACTAAAGCAAATTTTTTTAAAGCAAATATAATTTTTACTTGACTTTGATCAGAGCTACAGAAAACGACCATTTGTCGATCTGACTTATTGCTTATTTGTTTGAATTATTTAAATGCAGTGGCTTGACAATATTTATTGAAATATTAATACGTTACTATCATCAGGAGAAAACGCTTCTGAAACAACTACGGAAAGTTTGTAGTAATAGAAGGGTTTAAAACTATTGTTGACTTTTCGAAGAAAAAAAAATGCATCCATTTGCATTTAAGGCAATGTTGTCAATAAAATAAGAAAGGAAACTGATGTTCTTCAATTGTTTTTCTTTTACAGAGGGTAAACCTGTCTTAGTGACACAATATGTGGGAGGAGATATGTTGCCAGAATATCATAAAAAGGAAATTAGCGAAGGTCCAAAGAGAAGAACGGATGATCCAGACGATCTGCAGGAATCAGCCAATCATCCAGAAAAACATCTAGTCCGTTCCAGTGAAAGGTAAGGAGACTTTTATGCAAGTCAAATAATTTATTTGGGACTAATGATAACGTACAGTGTGCACAGGGAACAGCTTAATAACTTTTCATCTAATGATCAAATTTCTACGATTTTAAGATGCTATCTTAAGAGGCTGTAACGCATCAAGCCATATTATACCCATTGGCATACGAAGACGTCTGAGAGACGTCATTTGTTTCTTATGTCAAAACAATAATTGACGTGTCTCAGACGTCTTCAACACAGAGATGCCAACTTGCTCCTGACAGCAAATAAGTATTTCAAAGTGGTAGTTTATCAATGGTGATTCTTGGTTTAATAATTTCAATCGAGTAGATTTTTATCCACCGCTATTTCTAAATAATTCGCAGGCATATATAATTCACCATTTTATGGTAGTTATGTCATGCTATACCTCTCTAAAAAGCAAGCAAAAATAGTAAAATATTTGTAAAATTTAATTTGTAGATATTTACCGTTTTTTTTAAAACTATTTTGGCGTGTCCGGAGCAGTTGGCGTCTCTGTCAACATCTGATGTTCCATAAAAATCTCGTGCTTCTATTTTTAATTTATTGCGTAATATGTTTTGCTTCCTTTATTCATGCTTTTGTTAGACATTAATATATTTAGTCTCTATAATACTTAATTGAGAGCAATAAAGCGACGAAATCAGAATAAACGTACGTTTTCTGAAACGAGTTCGAAATCTTTATCCCTAAAAATGGGGTCCCAATAGTTTGGTCAGGACAGCTGTCGAAAGTTTGGTCCCCTAACATTTATAAATTATTAGCGACTACCACTTTTTTCTGCACGGTTATAAAAAGTACAGTTACAAATTTTCTTATGAACAATACGTATGTTATAATTGTAAATATGTTGTGAGTATCAAGGAAAATTAATTTCTCTCCCACTTAAAAAAAAAAAAAAAAAAGAAAGTCGAGAAAATATTCATTTACTATTTTTTCCTTATTCTTTCGTATTTACTTCATAACACCTACTGTGTTAAAAAGCAAATGTTCTTACTTCTTTTAAAATAACCAAAAAGTTTTTCGGAATTTGAAACTACTATAATCTACACCAATAGCATTTATCATTTTTGTTCCTGATACTTTACTTACGCATTAAATTACTGTCGGGAATTACATTATATAATTGGTTTTTTAATTCAAAAGAGGTACAGCAAATTTTATTTTCTTCTTTGATTTCGTGAACAATTACTTTACACTTGCAAAGAAATCTACTTGCTACGTGAGTGAGAAAATTGATATTAACGGTAACAAAGCTTATAATCTAATTTTGGATTCATAAATGAGCAATTTTCATTAAGAGTGTTTTAGCCAGTTAACATACATAAATAAGCTTAAATAAATTGGTATTAAATAAATTAGCTTAAATATCTGGTGGTTAGGAGGCTTTTGAAACATATTTAGAATTAGCCGAATCTCGGGAAAATTTTATTTCTTAACGTCTACAAGTTTTTAAAATTTTTTGCTTAAAACGAAGCAGATGGCATCTTCGATTCTCTGAAAAATTACTTTTTCCAATATTATGAAATGACGAGACTAGCATTTAGTGGAGTGGCATGGTATAAAAATGTATAATAATGGGTCCCTCCAATTTTTGATAGGAGGAGATCTCAAATTTCAGCTAAAAATATTCAAGTGGTGGTAAAATTAATACTACAAAATATATACCTTGTTTTTAAAAATGCATCATGAAGCTTTCTTGATGGCCATAAAGAATTGAAAGCCGATTGCATGAATAGAAATCTGATACATGTTAGACGAATATTATCTAAATCGTAGTGGTTGGAAAATTAGGAATATTTCAAATATTGGTGAGTGGATTGCTACCTCTTGAATATTTTTGGCAGATGTTTGGGGTCTCCGCCTATCAAAAATAAGCACGAACTTTCCGAAATTCCCAATAATTGTTAAAAACATAAAATTATCACCACTGTTAATACATGATAAGAGCATGATTTTACGATGTTGGGGAACTTTATATTCCACTTTTTATGGGCTATACGGGGTGGAGGAGAAGGTGTTAAGGAGAATAGACAAAAAATGCAACTTAAACAAATGAGATGTAATTCCGATGATGAAGCGATTTTATTTTTGACATAAATTTCCTATTCTAGTATATGTAGTGATTGTTGAAATTAAGTTACTATAGCTCATAATGTTTATTTTTTGTTTCTATGTGTAGTGAATATAGAATTTCATCATTAATTTTTTTTTTTAATCTTAGTTTTCCATTCTAGTATGTGTCGTGAATATTGAATTTCTTCAGTAGTTTTATTTTTAATCTTGATTTTCTATTCTAGTATGTGTAGTGAATAATAAATTTCTTCAGTAATTTAATTTCTAATCTTAATTTTCTATTCTAGCATGTGTAGTAAATATAGAATTTCTGAAGTCATTTTATTTTTAATCTTAATCTTCTATTCTAGCATGTGTAGTGAATATCGAATTTCTGAAGTCATTTTATTTTTAATCTTAATTTTCTCTTCTAGAATGTGTAACGAATATCGAATTTCTTCAGTAATTTTATTTCTAATCTTAATTTTATATTCTTGCATGTGTAGTGAATATCGAATTTCTTCAGTAATTTTATTTCTAATCTTAATTTTCTATTCTAGCATGTGTAGTGAATATCGAATTTCTGAAGTCATTTTATTTTTAATCTTAGTTTTCTATTCTAGTGTGTGTAGTGAATATCGAATTTCTTCAGTAATTAATTCTTAATCTTAATTTTCTATTCTAGCATGTGTAGTGAATATCGAATTTCTTCAGTAATTTTATTTCTAATGTTTCTTTTCATTCGTGTACGCGCACTGAAAGCTGGACATGTTAGGTCATTTTTATTTTAGTATTTAGTGTTTTTATTTAACATTCCTGGTGAACTAGTTTTTTAAAACTTTTGATGTCATATTTATGCTTTGTTTTTCTTTTTGTTTTTTAATGTTAGTGCTCATCTGCCGATCCACGTGAGTGTATCAAATGCTGGGGGTGGTGAGGGTCACGAAGAGTCGTCTCAGGAAGGCCATACTGATCACAACAGAAAAACAGAACACTCAGACATAGTTGAAAAAGGTCACCAGAATGGTCATCGTCTTCACACCAATTTAGCCAAAGGCCACGACCACGAAAAGCACAGCGACAAGCACGACGAACATCATAAAGAGACAGAGAAGGAGAGTCACAGGCAGGACACCCAAGCACACGACAAAGGTGGAGCTTCACAACAAGGAATCAGAGAAAGAACCGAGATTGAATACTACGAACGTGGTATGAAATGGTTCTTTTTTTTAAGAGAAACACCGGCAGACTTTAACAGTCGTTGCGAAGTATTTCTTACAAAGGTAGTGAACTAGAAATACTTAATCGTCATCGGCCGTGAGGAGGTGCATACTGTTTGTCTAAGATAGGTACTCGATCGAAAATTTGCTGAAATCTGCGGCAGTCTGGTGCTATGGAAACAACTTCGATGAAGAGGTCTCCTTTTCTTTCGCCGAAACCAGTCCTAAAGAGGGACCCCGCATCCCTACTTGAAATAATCATACCTTGCGACCATAGTCACTGCCACAGCTCCAGACGAATGTCTGGCAGAGTACCGATCGTAGACTAACAGTACTTGGTGGAAGTAAATAATGCCATAAAAACAAATAATTTTCATTATTGAAAACTACACAACAAATGCTCAAGTGAACGATTACTACCTGCAATACAGTTAAATAAATATTAGTTTAATGGTTTTAGGCTAAGAGCTTTCCATGGCTAAGTGCATCTGGCTAAGTGCTTTCCATGCTGCAGTCTGTAGATTGTTTAATCTGCTGCATCCCTATAAATGGATTTCTACGAGATGAATACTTTAAAAAAAAACTGCTTTATTAACTGCTAAAACTGCTATTAAAACTAATAATCTACTTGACCTTGATTTTATGTCTTCAGAGTATGATAACATTTTTGTTTCTCTCCCTCTTCTAACGCAACTAACCATTTTTTCTACAAAGATTCTAAAAATGCCCATTAAGGAGTACGTTCTGGGAGGAACAACTCCAGTAATGAGTAGTCTTGAGCTTTTATGCTCATCTCTATTGCTCAGTCTATTGTCTCAATTGCTCAGCAATCTAGGAAAAGTGATGGTAAACTATTTTGGTTTTTTAACTTTCGGTTTTATGTATATGTGTTTTTGACACAAAATATCATATTTAGTCGAAATTGTGTCACTACATATTATTTGTACATTACCTTTTTTTTAACCTTTCGCTTCCGGCTGGTACAACGGTACAACTGATGATTCAGAATAGTAGGTGCTATCAGGAGCCGTAGACAAAAGGCTAAATCAACTATATTTACCCTTTGACGCAGATGGGACACCGATGTCCCTATTATAATTTTTTTTTGACGCTCTATTTATGAGCAAAAACATATTTGTTCTTTGTTTAATTATAAAAAAACATTCTTATAGTAACTAAAAAAATTTGTTAGATTATCGGAATAATATTTGCACTAAAATATAAAATTTAAAATAAAAAGTAGTTTGAAAGAAAAACTTTTTTTCTTTCATTTTCACAAATTTATCAATAATTGATTCTGCAAATTAAAGAAATCTTAATGATGAATAACTGTTTCTGTTAGATCAAAATAACAGCAAGTAAGTGCAAATTTTAACACTTATTGTTTAAAAGTGAGCCGCGCTTGGAAGATTTTACCTTTGGTGCCGAAATATACACCCTTGTTTCATGCTGTATTTCGTAACCATAAATTATAAAAATGACAAATGTAATGTTTTTCACTTATTTTGATCTAAATAAGTACAAAATAATGAAAAAAGTATTAAAATTATATATGCTAATATATGCTTATATATGCTAATATGTGCTTAATAAAACGTCTCCTGATGCTAATATGTGCTTAATAAAAATACTGCGCTACTTAAAAGATTAAACTTACTGTCAAGTAACACAAGTATATATTAGCATCAGTAAGTACCAGTATCAGTAATTAGTAAAAACCAGTGAATAAATTCAATTAATTTCTACCACTGACTCAGTAAACAAGAATTTTTGAGAAGTAGCGTGCTGAAAAGGATAACGAAATATCATTTATGCCTTCCTGAATTCCATTAAAACTCTAACTATTCTATCTATAAATTATTTTCAGCTCTCACTAGATTCTAGTCTTAACATTTTACAGGGCCTTTTTAATCTTCCATTTCTGTGGAGATTTGCCTAAATTATTGAAATAAATTATATGATTTATTTATTTAGAATTTTTCTAATATTTTTAAGAACAAACAACTTAAAATTTTTACCATTATTTTATTTTCAAATTCATATTATTGCTTAAATTTTATTAAGGATTTTATCAGGCTTGGGACTTACAAAGTAGAAATTATGAGTATAACGCTCCCGCTTAAATCATCTGCTAAACATGTTTAGTATAATTCCATGAATTTGTTTTTTCTGAATAGTTTTTTTGCACGTGACTCTTGTATAAAGACCACTGAATTGAAGAACCATGAGTAGGTTACAGTTATTTTCAATATACGTCAAAAACAATAAATTTATTTTTCGAATTTTCAGTAGTAAAAATAATTTTAATAATTTCTTTAAATTTTATAATTATAAAACAGAGCAAAATTTTTTTTTTTAAATGCAATTTGCATGGTGCCCCTTCGAATATTTGTGCTAGGTAGTCTTAAAGGTAGGCAAATGCCCCATTTGCCCACCTTTATGACGGTTTTGGTAAGCTGTAACATTAAAATTTATTCAATTAATGTACAAAACTTCCCAGACTTATATTTTTTTAAATTAACCCTTTTTTTCCAGAGCATTTCTTGGACACAGAGTACGACAAAGCGAAGAAGGGTCACGACAAAACAAATGGTGTAAAGGAACATGAAAGTCACAACGATCACGATACGCATGAAAACAAAAAATTACACGCTGAAGAAAATAGCGGGAAACACAAAACTGATACTGGAGGATCCATTGGAAAAGAAGTAGTCGACGGTGAAGGAGTCATTTTAGGTTTGTGTGATACCGTGGTGCTGCCATCTATTGCAATTAAAATAATATAATTTGTAACGCGATACTGATTTGGAATATTGTGAACAGTAATGTTAACAGAGCGAAACATATCCTTGCAAATTTACATTTATTGAGCTATATTGTGGAAAGTTGAGGAACATGACAGCATTCCTTTTTAAATCACGAAGGCTATTAAAATTTAACTTGTACTATAAATATTATAACGAGCAGAAAAACTTAAGGTGTTATATAAAAAAAAAAATTAAAATCATGCGCTTATTTTGCTGAATGATTCATAATACGAAAGTTAATACTTTTTTTATTCAATGCGTTGTGCATGTCTTTAACTTTCAATTTTTGTAAACAAGATGGGCATATTGATGCAGTATTTGATTCAAACTTTATATGCTTTAACATTTGAATTTTGATGTAGTAAATTTGATTTAAAATTTGAACTGAAAAAGAGTTTTATGAACTGAAGCTTTATCGAAACGCACGCACGTAAAAAGGTTTAGAAACCTATAAGAAGTTGTCTATAGTTGACTAAGAAATTATCTGTTTTCTATTTACGAAATCGGTACGAAAGTGGAGATGAAGGAGGAAAATTCTAAACATGCTTTTCTTATTTTTTTTATTTATTTATTATTATTATTATTATTTTTTTTTTTGGTCTTTTTTTTAATCCTCTGTCTTTACTGAATTTTCACAAATAAACTGGTGGTGGATATTTACTCTTTTCGACAGTATCTTTCAATTCATGCAAAATACAAGACCGCCAATCAGAATTTGAGCTGTAAATGTGGGATATTTCTAGGTTCCCTTTTAATTTTTTCTGACAATATTTTAGCAACACAGATGTGGAATCAGCAATTTCTGAAAACCATTTTAACAATCTTGTCTGCTTTTAGATTTATTTATTTATTTATATTTTTGTGCAACTAACGTTTAACGAATATTTCAGCATCATCCAAGTGGAGTTTTATTAGTTTAAACTGTAATGAAATTCTAATTTTTTTTTAAAGCTAAATTTATATTATTTACTCAAAACTACAAATCGTACAGCTTTATTGCTTTAAATCGAAGTCTGAATGTTTTCTCATTAGTTTTGGTAATTTAGAAATGTTTAAAAAGATCTATTTATGAGAGAAAAAAACAACAATTATTATCTTCTTCGTCTTTCAAATCAAGTTAATGTTTTAAATTTATTAAAATACAAGGGGAATCCACCTTCAGCTTTCCTCACCACCCCACATGATTTCTCAACAATAATTTTCGTTCCTTTAAAAACTTTTTACTGTAAAATTAAAGATTATTCACTTACAAAAGCCCAAATGCTTTGTAGCAATAATATAGAATTGGTAACACAGGTTTAGTTTCCGAATGTCTTGAAATAGAACTCAAATTTAATTTTGTTCGGTTACTTAAGCAACTTCGTCTACAAAGTTGCTTTTAGAAATTCTTATTTATTTATTAATGTCTGTAAAAACTCGTTAAGGGTTTTTCGTCAGCGCGATTATTTTTAGTAATAGAGTGAAAAGTTATTCGTAATTTCGCTCTGAAATTTTCAATAATTATTCATTATTTTAATGGACTGGACAAATTTTTTCATAAAATTTACATTTAAGTAAATGTAACTTAATAATGAGTAAATGAGAAGGAAATATAACTATTTACTATTTAAAAAATGCAAAACCGTGACAAAATATTTTAATATAACGCAAATCTAACGCGATTACTTTTTGATCTAATAAGTGAACAACACTTCTACTTTTAAGACATATAGTTTTTTTTCCCTTCATATTTCTTTAGTCAAGATAGAGCAGAAAAAATTACAGTAAATTAAGACATGAATAAATAACGCGAACTAAATTTAAGAACAACCCACTCTGACGTCATCACGACGTTGTTTCTAAAAGTTTATCCCAGTTCCATGGGTCCTTACCCCCTCTAGCCAAACTCAAAAGCAACAGTTAGTTAATAAAATAGATTTGAATAGTTGATGCTCTACGGTCATAATTCATCGTCCCTTTCATACTTTCGTTTATTTCTGTACGATTCTACCATAAACGATAATGCTTATAGCATAAAATAATTCTCTGAGTGTGGTTAGTTTTTAAGTTGTATTTTTTTTTTTTTTTTTGCTACACTCCAATAAAAAAAATTTTAAGTAAAGAAATGATTGCGTGGATTTATGTTAGTGATTATAATTTTAATTCTGTGCGCATGAGTAAAACGTAAGATTTCTCTATTGAGTTCCAAATCTTTTATTTCAGATTTCAATTTCATTATGTGTAAAAAGTATTTATGTGATATTCTTATTTTCTTAAGTTTATTTATTTTATAATATAATAAATTATACTATTACGAGACAAAAGAAATATATATATATATTAATAACGCTTTCTGGAATTTATTCCTTAGTTTAAAAGGAGGAATGGTGCAAATCATCCATATAAATATGTATTTTATCCAACATCGAAATAAATTAAAGAACCTGAAAAATGGAGATAAATTAAAATATTTAAAATAAGCCTTTTCTTCTTCTTTTTTTGTAAAATGTATTTTGCTTTCATTAACACACGACATTTTTAAAGGATTAACATCTAAGTATTTTATAGAACAAAATAAAACAAATAGCCAAACGATTACAAAGAACTTCATAAATTCATTTAAAAATTTATAAAAGAAAACGATAAACTCTTCATTCTAACTAATAGCTAAGATTTGATGTGGCGTGGCACGGCGCTGAAGCAGTATCCAGGGTTTTAGTGATATTATTTTGCTGATAAAGAAAAAGAAAAAGAAGAAAAAACGCGTCGCCTCCTTATATTACTTTTTTATATATATTTCTCTATGTCTGTGATAAATAATTTACAGGTATTTGCCGGTAAAAAACACCTTAATAACTTTTATAAATTTCATGCTGATGACAACCTAAGAAATATAGAAATTCATTAAAAAAAACATTATCATACCATGTGATTTATCTTTCCAATCAATACTCAAGGAACGGTCATTATTTTCAAAATATATTTATGTGCACAGATTTCTTTGCGGTTTGATTACGAACTTGTTTTTAATGTATTTATCAGAAAAGGATACTTTGTTTGACGTATTCTGCTGCACATTTATTTGGATTTTACGACATGATAAGAAATATCAATAGAGTAACAGTCGTGAAAGAAAATTTCGGCTAGCATTGAAAGTAATACATGAAAGTATTAAGTTTCACATTTTGTTTTCAGTAAAATTCTGCCTCATTATAAATATGCATGCACTTAGTTCGTATATTGGTTAACTGCCGCATTTTATCTCCATTTCACTTTCAAAAGAAAATTCCTCAATAATGTTCAGTGTAGATTTTATCAAATAATCCAATATTGAAAAGAAAAGAAAAATTGTAGCACATTTTCCGTCTTTGCAATATAACAGGAAAGAGCTTAAGTTCATCCGATTTTCTTCTTTCTTCTTCTGTTGAAAGTTCTTTTAATCAGGTTATAAAAATAAACTCAGTAACTGTAATTCATTCTCTATTAAATTTTAATTAATTACAAATATACTTGTTACGATCCATATTGAATCTACTCCGATTTATAAAATGGGCTTAAAAGTTTCATTTTACAATTTAATACTATAATTAAAAAATATTTTTGTTAATTAGATACAACAAAAACATGCTTTGCTTATCAACTAAAAATTATAAAATATTTATGGTTAATATTTCTTCTTTTGTGCTCTAAACATATTTAATTAAAACAATAACATACTTAAATAGAGAATGATTTTTCTTGTTATCAAATTTAAATGTTTTTTAAAAAAATAAAATTTTAGTCAAAATTTTATGATTTAGTAGATCTTAATTAAATTAATGTAATTGTAAATGAAAATTTCTGATGTAAACTTGTAAATAGTAAAAAAAATTTAAGAAAAAAATTACGTAATATATTAGATATTTTTGAAGGAATATTTTCTTTTGCTGTATTCCCACAAAGAAAATTTCTGTGGATGTCCTTACTGAAAGTAATATAAAATACCAGAACAGGGAATAAGGCATATTTGTAGTCAAATATTAATAGAATCAACCAATCAAGGTTACTGCAAGCAATCTAAATGATGTATTGCCTTTTTTGCTCATCTTCTTTTGGCAACAGTTGTCTTCGTAATTTTGAAAACATCAATAGAAGTGTCCTTTTCTTTTTTCGTCGAAGTTTGTCTTATGTTATAATCTTTATTAAAATATATCCTTTTCTCAAAATGATCTGTTTATTTACAATTATAATTTAATTTCAGCACTTACTATCTTCTCCGGTTGCTAAGCAACGATCGTGTCTGAGTAGAAATTGCTTGTATAAACAGGGTTGAGTACTCTATGATTTGATTTAATTATAAAATCGTTCTTTTTTACAGAGGCTCATCCTCATTATAGACCTCCTATAGACGTCCACTATCCTGACGGTCATCATCAGGTTCTGCACAATAACAAGGCTCTCCATCACCTGAATGAAGACTCTCGCGCACTTAAAGAAGACAGTGAATCTTCCAAATTGCACCACAGTGAGGAATCGAAAGGTCACAGAGAACACAACAGTGAGAGGGATCACCAGTCCGAACAAAAGGACAGTGGTTACCTGGACAAGGACAAGGGACGAAGGAAAGAGGGTTATAGAGAGAGAGGATACAAGATCACTGCAGAAAGGGAATATTTCCTGAATGGTGATTATTTTTAACTTCATTTATTGTATTACCAGATTAAAAGCTTTATTTGCTTCAAAAATTGATAAATAGGAAATAACATGCTTCAAGCTCCTTAAAAATAGGCTCCCATTTTTAAGATTCCAAAAGTGGCGCTTGTAAACGGCACGCCCTTTGTAAAACGCAAAACTGCAGAATTGTGCTTTCACAGTTCGCCCCGTTGGAGAAATGACAGATCTATCTCCCTCTCTGAGCCGTGATGGCTCAGGGGATGGAGCGTTCGCCTTCCAATAAGGTGAACCGGGTTCGAATCCGAGAGATGACTATTTGATGCGAATTTCGCATCGGGCTTGCACCGATCGCACTGCTAACGTAAAATATCCTCAGTGGCAGACGGATCATGGGTTAAAGTCCTCTTGCCGTCAGGCTAATAGTGGGAGGTTCTCGAGGTTTTCCTCTCCATGTAACGCAAATGTGGATTAGTTCCATCATAAAGTTCTCCACGAAGGCAAATTTCTCCCAATACTTGATCCAGGAGTTCCCTTTTCTTCTGGATTGTGTTCAAAATTACCAGACTATAGAGTTGAACATTAGTAGTCATAAACCTAAAACAAAATTGGGCTGGCTGCTCAACGACGGTTATAAAAGATTCTCCTCGTTGAAGATTTCTGGTGTTGAGTTAATTTTATCTAAAACAACAACGATTCTTCCAACGAGAACTTCACCCGAGTCCACAGGCGTATCGCAAACTAAGGATTTAAAATCTCCCTTCAAAAATAAACCCAATGACTTGTGGCCACAGGTTATCAACGATTTACATCTCGATTTGGAATGTAAACTTATGCTATATGGCAAATACTTTTTTTCTATATTCTCTACTGTGAGAATTGATAGCAAAAGTAAATCAAGTCACTAAACAATAGGAATTACCTTTGGTGGAATATCACCAATTTTATGACAATGGTAAGTAAGAAAAGAACCACCTACTCAGCGTGGAGGAGGCAGATATAGGTAATGTTGAAAATTAGCACCAAACCCTTATATTTACACCCACTATCAATTCTTGATGAGCAGAGTGATGAATGCTATATACCTCTCTCATTTTAAAAAATTATTCTAGTGTCAACTCTCATTTTAGTGTCAAACTGGATAATTAATATCAGTCATTACTGAACATCGTATATCCAATATTTGTTTTGAAAACTTTGTTTTATTTTTCTGTCATATATTAAGAGCAGTCAATATTGAACACCCTATAACCAATCTTTGTTTTAAAAACTATTTTTTTAGACGCTCATCACGACAAGGGACAATCCACCCACACGAGTGGGCATAAGTTGAAAGATGAAGAAGGTGCAGCCCACGGCCACAAAGAGGGGGAAAGGGACAGAGGCTTCATCAAGGAGGAAAAACAAGAGGAGGCTCATGATGCAGCTTACGACCACAAAGACAAGAGATACTACGATGGTGAAGCGAACAAAGATGGTTTCTCTGCTGAGAAATCAGCATCTTCGTCTTCTGGGGAGAAGAAAGAAAAAGAGGAAGTTATCCCTCTGGTAAGCATGGTACCAGATGAATCTTTACCGTTTATTCCTCTCGTCGGTTTAGACGGTCGGTTTAGTTGATATCAGGTCTTCACGTAGAAGAGAAAGATTGCGATCGTTGGGGAGGAAACTATTTCCATCACTTTATCGTATCTTGAATGATTAGCTTTCAGCTCATAGGCATAGGTATTGAGTAAGATGCAAGGAAGCATTCTCAAAGTAAACCAATACAACCTGTCGAATATTTGCAGGCGTGTACAGGCTATAGTTTTGGTCAAAATTACAAATAAAAATGTTGAAGAACGACATTTTCTTAAAAATAATGAGCTAGGGATTGCTGAATTTTCTTGTATTTAAATACTTAACCTCTTTTTAAAAATTATTTTGAGTCTTCAATGTTTTGGAACGAGAATATCCTCGAAATCTTGTGCTGAAATTCTTAATGAACTAAAGTAGCTTTAAATCATTATTTTATATTCATAATTTGTGTGTTCTGAAGTTTTTAGTTTATTTCTTTAATATTTTCAATCCACTTAGTTAATATGATTAACTTTTTTAATGATTTAAGACGAAAGGAGTTAAAAAAATCCTGCTCTTAAATACTTAATCTAATTCATTTATAGTTTCTTAGAGTTTTTCTACTTAAGTCTTTAATGTTTAGAAATAAGAATGACCAGAAATCTTGCACTTAAGTTATATATTTTTTGTCATTAATAACTTAAAACTAAAGTAGCCAGGAATCCAATTTTTTCTTTTATACTTTAATGATGAATTCTTTGATTACTATCCACTTCTTTTATTTTTGTCAGAACTTGTTGAAGTTGAAATCGTTATCAACTGTATTTTTCATCACAACCTATTTTATTTGTTTTACTTCAAAGCGAACTAATTGGTTGGAAAAGCTAAGCAATAATTGTTTTCTGTTTTAAATTTGTTCTTAGTAATTGCTGACTATTTGGTGCTTAAGAATTTCCTTTGTGTAAAATATATGTTTTATTGATGAAACTAATTTATTCAATAAAATGTGTTAATGTAATATAATGTGTTAATGTAATATAGAAAATGAGATTTTTAGATGTTTTTAGAAATAAATCAATTTAAATTTATCTGCATGGCTTTTATTTATAAAACCAATTCACTTGACACACACAAAAATGTACTGAATATGGAAACAAACTAAAAACTATGAAAAGCTTACATCAATTTTTGATGAAAGATATTTACTAAACAAATTGTTAAAATGCTTACATATTTTTTTCGAAATTCGATTTTTACCTTTTAATGCTTGCTGGCTTATACAAAAAAATGCTTACAATTCGTCTTAAAGCTTAAACTTTGAAATCAGAATACGTTTTGTTAATTTAAAATTTAGCATTAGAAAAAGCAGCTCTATAAAGATAGTGATAATAAGAATCTCAATTCTGATTATCAGAATTATTAGTCATTCTTACAACATTTAATATTTTTTTAGAAATTATTTTCATTGAAAAGGTATTAAAAATCATTTTTAGCAAAGCATATGAATTAATAAAATTTTAGAAACTGAGAAATTAAAATTTTGTAATGTAAATTTATGAATCAAACTAACTGAATTTTATTACTATTATTACTTAATATTTCATCTTTTTTACAGGCTCCACCTCTAGTAAACTACGTAGAAGAATACCCACACCATGTACAGCCATATCCTTTACCTCCCATTGCTTATGCACCATCAAACGATGGTGCTCAGCCTGTCTTAGCTTATCCGCCTGAAGATCTGAAACGGAAGAACAAACAACAAGCTTCTCACACAAGGCCTCAGTCCTACTATGATAGCCAAACAGGTAAAGAGAAGGATAATTTCAAGACCCCACATAAACCTCAACCACCCCTTGGTGGTTTTGATGACGAGCGACAGAATGCTGGTTATGTTGGACACGCTTCTTACAAGAGGAGACAGCCCAGCCCTCTAGTGGCAGCAATCAAAGAAAACATAAGAAACAATGTTCACGCAGAGCCACCAAGTTATTCCAAAACTGAGAAAACCTCGAGCGAAGAAAACTCTGTTCGATTCCCAGATAAGAATAATGACCAATCCAATTATAAAGACAACGTGAAAGAAGAGGGCAGCCAAGAAGTTGTGTTTCCCAAAAAAGAAGATGCATATTCGGATTTTAACCCTAAGTATGAAAATGAAAAAGCCTACACAGATACTCCATTAAAATATGACAGAGTGTACACAGATTCGCCTCCAAGATACGCAAAGGAAAAGGCTTACACAGAATCTCCTCCAAGATATGGAAAAGAAAAGGTATACCCAGAATCTCCTCCGAGGTATGGAAAAGAAAATGCCTACTCTAACCCATCTGCGACCCAAGATGGGAATAAAGAAAGCAATCCGTTGGTGTACACCTACTCGCAAACAGGAGAGGCACAGTCCAGTTTACCTAAGGATCCTCGATATCTTCCAGAAAACGATAGAACCACAGCGAAATTGCAAAGTCCGGATCCGACTGTGAACAAACCCCTCACTGTGAGTTCGCATTTACCAATAGTCAGGCAAACTTCTCATCGGTTTACAGACCCAAGAACAGTGTACTTGCAAGGAGCTCAAAATGCTAACAAGCTTATCAACACTCATCATAATGTGTATCCTCACGCTCAAGGCGATTCATTACCAACAGTTGGTGATCTTATCGACGAACTAACTCGTCACAGTGACGCACCAGAAAATCAACCATATTCTCAAGAACAGAACATAAACACGAATGGAAACACTCAATCAGCATTTGCCGATCTTCAGCGTATTTATAAACTGAACAGAGACGCGAATCAGCCGACCCGGCTCACACCTGCTCAGAGGGCACAGCAACAGCAGCTTCTTCTAACACAACAAGGAGTTAGATCAAACACTTATCCTCAAAATCCACACCAGCAAATTCCGCATGGAACACACGTTTTGCATTTCCATAATCCTCAAGATATTCCAAGAACTGGATCGGCTTTGGATCACCATCAGCAGCAAACATCACCACCTTTTAGCCCAGTTGTCCTTTTGTCTTCTGGGCCTTCAGCTCAAACGAAGAATCAGGCTGTTGATGTATGGTACACTAGGCCTAGAAATTGATAAACAAATGATTAATGATTACAAACCTTGATGTTAACCCATTAGTGCCTAAGATTTATTTCTCGTATCTCTTTTTTTATGTGATATAGTGCAAGATACTTACAGTTTGTCCAGCGGAAAACTAACCAATTTCAATATTAAAAATATCGGGAACAAAAGACGATAGAGGAATTAATCAAATATTATGTTTATTGTGAAAGCTACAAGAATTTTATACTGAAATTTTGGAATTTAATTACAAAGGTTGCCGATGGATGGCGCTGCGAGCCATAAATAACCAGAGCCACAAGTTTTAGCGTTAAAAGCTAAAAGAAGGTTGTTGTACCTGATTAGGAAGTTTAAACTATGTATTCTATTGAACATCGTGGTGCTAAAATATCTCAACTTAGATTATAGTTTTGCGGCATTTTTATTCTTTTCAAGAAATCTGTACAGTATACAGTTCCATCTATTGGCAACTTTCGTAACCAAATTTCGAAATTTCATCATGAAAACTTTACAGCATTTAGAATAAATATGTCGCTTGTTTTATTCCTCTATACCATTTTTTTCCCGAGAATTTTTATTTTTTCAGATTAATCAGTCTTCCTCTGGACACCTTATAGTGCAAATTTTTCTTCTTTCTTTTTACTTAAGTATAAAATCTATCCAATACCTTCCTTTTTTTTTTTTAAAGTTAAGTAGTAGCAATATGAAGTTTTTTTTAATAATATAAACGAAAATCCGTTACTATCTTTTTGATAGTACTTATTTTCCCATCACAGTAAATCCAGGCATTAATGGGTTCGTACAATGAACTTCTGCTTTAACGAATATCTTGAATGCCCAGTAATCGAAATAGTAAAATGTAACTGAATTTACTAAAAATATTAGCAAATTCTAAAACTTGACTCTTTTTCAAAATTGATGANAAGAAAAATATAGAAGATAAATCAGCTATTGGGGAAATTCTAACTGGCCTAATTAAGCGCTTCAGAGGAATACGAAAAGAACAATACACAGTGGTCTCGTGCTCACCTGCGCTGACACTCTATTGTTAAATCTGGGTTCGAACTGGTGAACTCTATAGTAATCCAGACATTAAGAATCTAGTACTCTTCAGATTCTAGGAATGATCTATTTTAATTACCACGGAAGGAAAAAAAATACTTATATTTATCTATTTATTGTTACACATACTCATACAGGCTTGTGTGCTCGATACAAGGAACTATATATATATATATATACAATACAATACAATATAAACTTTCAAAAATATAGAAAAAGAGCCAAATTGATTTTCCAAAATTCGGTTGTTTTTTAAGAGTTGCAACGTTTTAATGGTGAATTGCATAATGCGTAGGGAATATGAATTTATAATTGCCTTCTAGATTAAAACTTTTTTTTTTAAACAAAAAATCTATTTTATCTTATCAACATGTAATTAAAATTCAATATCGCAAACGTATTGTGTGAGAAAATTAAATTCTCTAACATTTCTATACTTGAACGTCTTAAAAACTTCACAAATTCAGTTTTCTAAAATAAAAGAAATAATTAACTTTTGAAACTGGCATGAATTTCTAAAATGAAGATATACAGAGTGCCCAGCAATCTTCACCTTTCATATACGTTTCTATAATCCTTCTCAAAAAAGAAGTAAAAAAAAGCAATAGAAGTCGAAAATGCGTTTTTAAGCGTGAACAAAATAAAAACTTTATTCATAAGCTGGCAAATCATAATCGAGGAAGGTGAGATTAAAAGCAACATGCTCTGTTTGATTGCCCGACAAAGCTAACAGGGGAGACTAGGGAAGTGTGACTCGCCAATTTTGAAATAAAGTAGTGAGATGTATGCCTTATGAGGAATAATTTTAGGGGACAACATTCGTTTCGGCCCATAGAAGGTCCTGCGAGAGATAAAAAATAATTCAATATATAGAAAAATCGGTATTTTATTACTTCAAAGCAGACTATTAGTTATTGTAATTATCTCATACTCCTATTAATTTTGTGGTACTTTCACGTACTATATAATGCATATTTATTGTCAAAATTGATTTCGAAAATTTTAGATATCTGTATTTTTTCAGAAAAACCTGTTAGGTTAATTTTTAAAAAAAAAATTGGAATCAAATTTTTGTAAATTTTTTTTTTTTTCAAAAAATTTTCCAAACTAATTGGAGTATGTGATTGCAAATTAATTAATCAACCAATTAATTGCAAATTAATTGGAGTATGAGATAATTACAATAATTAATAGTCTGCATTGAAGTAATAAAATACCGATTTTTCTATATATTGAATTATTTTTTATCTCTCATAGGACCTTCTATGGGCCGAAACGAATGTTGCCCCCTAAAATTATTCCTCATAAGGCATACATCTCACTACTTTATTTCAAAATTGGAGAGTCACACTTCCCTAGTCTCCCTTGTAAGTGGTGGTGAAAAGGTTAATATTCTAAATGCTATAGTTTCTTCGGACAACCAAACTCTTTTTTAATGTTTTTAATCCTTCAAATAAGGATAAGTCAAATTTTTGAAATTTTTTTTTTGAAACAACATTAATTTGCATCCCAGAACTAAAAACTTTTTGACTTAATTCTTGTGAAAGGTTTTTGTGTATACATAAAACTATTCCATTCCATTACCCAGAATTCAATGGAATATAATATTACAAATTCAAAATGAAAATCAGGTTAAACTATCAACACTGTATCAATGGAACTAGATTTAAAATAACAACGTCACAGAAAAAAAATTAATTAAAAAACAGTGATTAAAGATTCGTGTGTTCTGTTTTCTCATTCTAAAGTTCGAATTTCTTAAAATATTTCTGACGCATTATTTTAAAGAAGAAAAGATCAATTTACGGTTAAAGTTCAATGAAGAGTCACATTTCAAAAAATAATAGGACAAGAAAATTAAATATTGAAAGAATAAGTTTTAAGTATTTAACTATAACTTGTTCGTTCAAGTGGCATCAGTTTTCAAATATTCGTTATAGCCAGGTTCATTATAACGGGGATTTAAAATACTATTATATTCAGTTACAATTAAAGTCTTGGACCAACCAAGCTATTTTAAGAACATTTGCCATACTCGTTCGAAATTTTATTGCTTTCATGTTTTATTAGTCCGATTATTACTTTTTGTGTATAAAATGCAGCAAGTAAGTGCATTTGTTCTTTTAATTATTTTATTTATTCTGATTCTATTTTGAGTTTTCTCAAGCTAAGTTCCTTTGTACTGTTTCTTCTGTAAAATTGTGATTGTAATAAACTTATTACTACATAGAACAGTGTTTAATTCTTTGAAAAGCAACAAGTTCAGCACCGGAAATAACGACCTCCTGGGACAAATTTAAAATCCAGCGACTTTTAACGACTCTTTCTCTCTCTTGGAGATTTTTCTATCGATTGTAGTTGGTCCCAATTATAATGCAAGCTTTTATTTCTTCTAGAATTAGTTACCTGAACTAAAACAGAAGGCAAGAATCTGTGTCTTTTTATTTAAGAAAATGCCGAACCGGAGAGATGACAAATTAATACGGAGATGATGAATTGGAGATTAATCGTTCTTTGGTTCAGGTCGAAATTATGATATGTTCATTATTGATAAAAATAGAAATATATTAATTTCATAATCAGCATTTTGGTTTGCTTATTCACGTCACCCTAGACTTACACTGATGGTGCCTACTTGGTGCTTTCAGGTGCCTACTTTTAATCCTGGTGTAAATGGGATGATTTGTTTATAAAAGACTTTTATATGAGATGATTTACATGTGAGATGATTTATTTATGAGATGATTTATATATGAAATTGTCGCTTTTGGTGCGGCAAGTATCTGTCGCAATCTGTAGTATCATGTACTTTGCAGAGTGGGTTTGGGTTGAATTTTTTCTATATGCCAAAGTGATATAAGCGTCCACCTGCTGCCAATGAGGTGAACCGGGTTCGAATCCCAGCGGTTACTGGTCGATACGAAATATCCTCAGTGCTAAACGGATCATGGGTTAAAGTCCCCGTGACGTCAGGCTAACCATGGGCGGTTTCCGTGGTTTTCCTCGCCACGTTACGCAGATGCGAGTTAGTTCCATCAAAAAAATCCTCCACAAAGGCAAAATTTCTCCTAATATTTGATCATGGAGTTGCCTTGTCGTCTGGATTGGGTTCAAAATTACAAGGCTACGGAGTTGAACATTGATAGCTCTAAACTCAAATTTGGTTTGGCAGTTCAACGGCAATTATATATACATTATACTAATGTGAAATTGAATGACAGATAGAACAAATTATGAAGAGATATTACAAAGAAAAATATAGAAGATAAATCAGCTATTGGGGAAATTCTAACTGGCCTAATTAAGCGCTTCAGAGGAATACGAAAAGAACAATACACAGTGGTCTCGTGCTCACCTGCGCTGACACTCTATTGTTAAATCTGGGTTCGAACTGGTGAACTCTATAGTAATCCAGACATTAAGAATCTAGTACTCTTCAGATTCTAGGAATGATCTATTTTAATTACCACGGAAGGAAAAAAATACTTATATTTATCTATTTATTGTTACACATACTCATGCAGGCTTGTGTGCTCGCTACAAGGAACGATTTATAAGTCCTTGTCAAGATGAAGATGTCAAGACAGATGACACAAATTAGAGAAGGACATCACTCAGATACATCCAGGGTTACGGCAGAATTCGAATACAGCTTGACAATGGGCTATTGGCAACGGACTGGGGAAACATTCCTGAAGATGATCCAAAGACATGTCAACACAATTTTAATCCTCTGCAGAGGAAATGACACCCCCTTTCGTAGCCCGACGACATACGCGCGAAATCGAGTCCTTGACGGTACAACAGTTTAACGAGGACCAATAGAACGCACCCTTTGTTCGTTCGCAAGCTGATCAAAGTAGTCACCCACCGGCTCACCGACAGAAGCCAGGGATGTTATATTTCGGTGATCTATTGGGAACCGTGTCTTACTTTCAGTCCACTGGGGAACAGTTAGATAATCAAATGGGTCTTACTTAAATCAAGCTCTTGTATGCTATTCGCCTGTCAGCTTAAACAGTTTTAATTTCGGGGCACGAGCCAGCAACCTTGTCTGTCTTAATCAGGAGTCTTAGTTTACTAGTTGAACCAATAATTTATAACAATTACCTTTTACCATCTTAAATTTGGCAGAAATAGTCAACCGGAAGCTTTTATTAGTAATTGAACTAATTTGGAGTTAATTTGAAAGGAAAATAAAAACTTTTTCGTTTTAGTTTTTGAATTTACTGTTCGAATTTTATGTGCTAATTGTAAAGACGACTAGCCCACTTTGATTTTAGACGATGAAACTTCAGTACAGTAAGTAAAATTAAACTATTTTGATTGCATTTAACGCCAAATCACAAAATGAATGCAACGTTGATTGCTTTTGATTCTCTCTTTTTTTTAAGTATACGTCATTTGTTTACTTTCAAATCAATTTATAAAATGAAAAAATATAGTATTAAAGACAATAATGGCTAACATGCATCCTGGCATTTAAAAATAAACAGTTTATGTGTGTACATGTACATCGAACAAAAAAAAGTGTTTACACTTGAAGAGCTCAGGACTTTATAATGATAAGAAACGTTTTCAAATTATTCTGAGCGGCGTTTTCAAAGAATGTTACAGTTCAGAAACATTTTATTATAAACAGTAGTTTTTATTGAAAAAGTTCATTAATCTTAGAAAACAAGTAATTAACAGAAACTAGAGCATTTTTTTTTTAATTTTATAGCAAAAAGTTTTTATTTTGTTCAACTTTCAATGTTTTTCGCTGTAATTATACCAATGTTTAGATTGATTTTAAAGGTTTCTACTCTAATTTTAAATTTTTTATTCGTTAGTAATAAATTACAGAACCTCAATTTTATCTATTTTTTCTTAAAAAAGTAAAAATGGTGGTGCTGAAAAATCAGAAAGCACTGTATAACAGCATATAATTGTAAAATTAATTTTTTTTAAATCTTATTATGACGTTAATACATTTTTAAAGGTGTCAATTTTAAGAATATTAATATAGAATCTCGCTGCTTACCAAGACATCATTATTCTTAAATATATAATAATCTGATAAAAGAGAATTTTCACTCACAAATTTCATATAATGTAGCTCAATATCTCCCATTGATAATTTGTACTTCGTTAATGTATTTGATACATGGTCATTTTTAAGTTTTTTTGCAACTTTAGTTTTATTAGTTCATTTTATTCAAGATTTATTTTTAAGATTGTTTGAAATTAATTTCAAAACAAATTCTAAGTTGGTACATATTAATAACAAGGCTGCGAATGAAAAAAGTGTATGTAAATAATAATACAAATTATTCTATACAAACTACATAGATGAGTATTCAATAAATATATTTTTATTTGTACAGACAAAGGGGAAATTATTTATTTTTACGCATTAGATTCATTGCTATAAAGACATAGACTACTTTAAGAAATTATTTCTTGTAATTTTTATCAGAACTACGTTTTTATTAATTAACTTTCGTTTTACTACCGATGGAATCTTACAATCAACATTTCAACCACTTTCAGACTAGCTAGAATGCTCAGATTTTAGCTGCTTATTGATGGTAATGCAAGTTTGATTCGTTTTTTGACTTACATTGCCCAATCAAAAATTTATTGTTAATCAAAACTCGGACCACTATAAGACTAGCAAGAGCACTCAAATTCTAACTAAACCTCTGAGTTTAATTATACTCTTTGAAAATAGGTGTCTCAAGGTTACGAAATTTCCCCACTCTTTACACTTCTCCCTTAAACGTTACTATGGTGACGACAAATTCTGCTTTTTCACTACTCCAATACATTTTAACAAAGCTTTTGAAATGTACTGGTGGTAGGAAAGAGCAAGATTTACTAAAGTCATGCCAACGGAGGGTAAAAGTGTAGGGAATGGGGAAATTGCGTAACCATGAGAAGCTTATTCTATTTAAAAGAAAGCATAGAAAGCAAATTTGAATCGTTTCTTGATCACTGTAAGCGGAATTTATTGTCTTATTACCAAATAAGAAATACCGTCGATAGAAATCTCGACCAACTATCGATTAGATAAAATGGAATTTATTCGAAAGTTTTGTGGCTTTATGTTTGAATGTGATCATCAAATAGAATCTATTGTCCATCGAAATTTCGTCCATTTTCGGACAAGTTAGATCAGTGTTTCTCAACCCGATTTGATCGAAGGACTTGCAAAATATTTTAGGGTTTTATGGAGGACCACTAAGGTTAGTAATTAGAATTATTGATGTAACTTTTGTGGCACATTTGTTGACCAGTTTGTTTATGAACATTCACACACTCTCTGAAATAAAAAAATATTTTGAGCCTAATGCTCTTTTAATATAAATATAAGTTACATTAATTCTAATACAAATATAATTATCCTGTTCGCGTACAGTTTTGAAACAATAAAAAAATGCGGAGAATGAGAAACAATGAGCTAGATGACTCAAATTTATACTGGAGCTCTATATCTAGTAGACGATACAAGTCACAATTTAGGCTTAAATTCAATTGTTTTCTAAATGTTGCATGTTGAACTGGTGCTGCAAGCTTTGGTACTTTTCGGTTAGATGGGTGCAAGCAAATTCAACATTTTTTTTAAATTCTTTATTTTTTTTAAAAAATGTCCTTCGTTATAAATAAATAAATAATTTAAGAAAATAGTTGAACTTACGTGCGTCTGGCTGATAGAAAAGTACCAAATATTTTGCCATTTTACCACTTTTCGAAATTTTAAAAACCAACAGGCATACAGCTAAAATAAAAAAGATAATAAAATCATGCAAAAATTTTTTAAAGTCTATATTTTCAATGTTTTAAGACTACATTTTTAAAGTGGACTAAGAAGACTTTCATGAGATCAAAAATAAAATTCGACTGACATGGGGTTGGTTAGTGGTTAGTATCTTCACCAAAAAATCTTCCCATCAACGGTTTATGAAATTGATGCATCTCACATTTTCAATCTGACAAAAAATTATTTCGTCAACTTAATGACATAATTTTTGAAATTTTTATTTTTCTATCAAATTATTTCTCTTTTTTCATATTCAAATTAAAAATTGTTTCAGTTGTCCGGAGATATACATCCGAAGTGGAACTCCTTAAAGATGAGCAATGCCCTCTGGGCATTTCCATCACTGGTAGATATTTTTATTTATTTATTTAATTTTTAATTTTATATCCCTGTAAGATTAAAAAGAAATTTTACATCGTCTACCTACGAATAGTGACCGGAAAAATGTTTTTTTTCGTAGTGAACTACAACTATTTTATTACAAATGTAGTTAACCACAGCTATTTTATACTTTAAAAATCATAACGAATTGACGTATTATGGATTACAAATTGATTTCAAAATATAGTCACTCTAAATAACTACTTTTAGAAGTTTTTTTTTCTCACTAATGAACTACTTTTTTTTAACTTCAATTTTTGTTAAGAATTTAAAAAATAAATTAAGATTGATGTAAAAATTTCTACATTATTTGTTTTGAATGAAGAAATTGCCTAATTTAAGCACAAAAAATTAAAAAAAAATTTATTATTCTAAAAGGCATTTTTTTACGAATTCTTTCTTTCATGCTTTTCTTGAAAGTGATATTTTATTCAAAACATTCGTGAAAATTATCAAATATTTATAAATATGCTAAAGTGTTCAAAACACCTTAATTTCCCCTAAAAATTAAGAATTCACCCAGAAAAAACGGACTACCTGATGATCCGAACGTGTTTCTTTAAACTTAATGGAAACTCAACAAGAAGTAATGAAATAAAACTGAAGTTATCTAATAAACCATGGGAAAATTGTGCTAAATTCTAAATATCATAGGTCAAATAATACTGTATGTAAAGTTAATCTTTCTTTTAGTGAGTGGAATTTCTAATAAATATTATGGTAAAATCTAAAAGTATAAAACCGTTGCAGAATGTACAAAAAAAATACTGGTTCTGTATATATGTGTAGTAAGGAGATACTAAGGTATTCATTAAAAGCCTGTTACCACAGCACTTATATTAGGCATCTATGTTGGTATAATATGTTCACATTACCACAGCACCTGTAACGGCAATACTGGTAGTTTTGAGCCATGATGGCTCAGGGCATTTGATGGTTCGCCATGTATTTGACGTTTTGATGGTTCGATGATGAGCTATGATGGTTCGCCTTCCAATGAGGTGAGCCGGGTTCGAATCCCAGCGATGGCTGGTCGATACCAATTCCGCATCCGGCTTGCACCTACCACAGTGCTAACGTTAAATATCCACATTTGTTGACGGAACATGGGTTAGAGTCCCCTTGCCGTCAGACTAACCATGGGAGGTTTTCGTGGATTTCTTTTCCATGTAACGCAAATGCCAGTTAGTTCCACTAAAAACTCCTCCACAAAATCAAAAATCCCTTGTCTTCTGGATTGGGTTCAAAATCACTAAGCTACGGAGTTAAAAAAAATTAACTGACAGACACAACATTAACAAGAGTAAAATTATTAAATAAATTTGAAGATTGAAACTAAGTGTTTTTTTTAGAATAAAAAACGGTGAAAATAATTATATTTTGTCTGACCTCAAGCGAAAACTTCCAACTTATTAACTTCTAGCGTGATCGAAAACTACCTCCCCTCCATCCCTTTCGAAAGTAATCCCTCCCACGCTTTCTCTTTTAGGTCAAACTTCTTTTTTTCCTTTTAAAAAAAAATAAGAAAGGAAAAAATCTTGAATTTTTTAAAAATTCATTTTATTATTTTAACATTAAGAAGACAATTTCTTAAATTTCTTGAAATGCCTCTTAACATATTTTATACACTAAGCTTTCTCATTATAAAAATCTATTGTTTGCTTTATTGAAGATAGTAATTGAAATAAAAACTTCTAAGATTGAACGATTAGTTACAAAGCTATTTTTATTGCATAGTATAAACTATAAATGAATAGATTATTGGTTGCCTGAATTGAAGCATCACACACTTAAAAATGACTCATTTCTAAATTAGAACTATTAAATGAGAAGTTAAGGATTGCTTAATTCGAGCTGTCACTTAAAAACCTATTATTTTCTTCATTAGAACTATATTTAAGATGCTATTTTCTTTTTGATTTATGCCATTTCTTAAGAAGCTATTAATTGCTTAATTTAAAATGTTGCAAATTATTAGTATTATTAATTACTTTAAGAATCACAGCAAGTGTTTTTAAATATTTTAGGAAATCATAAGGAGAGACCCACCATAACAAACATCAAACATGGAAGTGTTGCCCAGAAGTAAGTTTTCCAAAATTTTGACGAAAAATTCATTCCTCTCATTTTTAATAGTATAACATTTATTACCCGATTTTATGACCTGAGTTAGAGATTAAATTTTACGAGTGTAAGATTTTTTTTAATAATATTATACCTACCAACTTACACGGTCGTTGAAAAAGATTTTACAAAGACGTCATAAAACGGAAATTAAATTTGGAAAAATTTCCTACAAATTGCATTATTTAAACATTTAAGAACAAACCTAGCCTGGTCTGGTCTTTTCGGTGTAGCTGGGGTCCTTAGGCCAAAATAGCCCTTTTCCCATTCATCTTGTATTAGAGATTATAAAAAAAAACATGGCTGGAATGCATGACTGGAAGCACAAATGGCACAATGTAAGGTAGAAAAGAGAAAATGGCACTTTGCCAGGGTATTAATTAGCTATAAACATGAAAATACAGTAATAATTATATACAACAAAATAAATGGAAATTATTTACAAAGATATTTATAAAATTATTAAGAGTTGAGAAAGCAAGTTGATCATAAACATAAGTTAAATTAAAATCAAAAATATTTACAAAAAAATAAATCACAAATGAGCCAATCAATAAAGAAGCGGAAAGTTATGTTAATAGCGATAGTAAAATTAAAATAATTAAATTGTGTTAGTTTGAGTACCTTTGTTGAAGTAGGGACCGGAACACCGCGCCTGGTTGCTCCCTACACTGAAATTAAAAGGATTAGTCTCCCTCTGATCTGACCAACACTTTCAACAAACCTAGCCAACGAATGGATCTTATATACATATTTTTTAAATTATTTTTTATCGTGGTAGGTAAAAAATTGGCTTTGGAACTGCTTAATTCAAGAATTATTACATCAAAATGTTTAGGTTGGTACGGCTAAGAAAATTATTTCTCAACAGCCTACAGTGGGCCAGCATCCAAGGTTTCATGGCCAAAATTAGTATTTCGATAAAAATTTGCTTCAAAATTCGGGGTTTTTTTGTGCAGGCAAATTGAATTTATTTCTGAAATAAAAATTTAAAAGTTACACTTAAAAAATTTTTTTTAACATATTTTTCATTACATTGTACTCTTGTCGGTCCAAAAAGTAAATTATAATGTTTGGAATGATTGTGAATACTAAATTTGGGCTATATTAAAACTGCCTATACATATTTTAGCTGAAATTTAATTTTTAACTTTTGGTTTATAGTTGGCTTTGCTCCATTTATCTGCCTGTGCTTAAATGCATACTCTTTTTTTTATTTAAAGTGGTTGAAAAATTCATGCTTTCATATTTTTTCGATTTAATTAATTTTATTTAAAATTCATTTGATCACCATAGTGCGGAGTGCAAAAATAACGGACCACCTTGAGCAACTTTTGATCTAACAATCGGATCATCTTGTTCTAGGGCTCAAACTTAAACTAAGGGGGTGACCTCGAATATGTTAATTAGTTAGTGCATACGATATTTTAAATTATGAAATCAGACCCAAAAAATTTTTTTTTTCTGAATAAAAATGTCCTTCTCTACGGATTTGGATTTTTGACCCCAAAATATAGGGAGTAGCATTAAACTTGGAAATATGGAATTGAATTTTAAAATCGAAATGGGTCGAATAGTTACTTCCTAAGAAATTAAATTTTAAAGAAGTCGTATATTTAAAATTCGATTTCTCAGGAACTATTCAACTGATTTTGTTCAACTTTTATATTTTTCCTTGTAAAATTACATTCTTTAAAATGATGTAAAAAATTTTAAACCTTACAGTTCAAAATTTTTTCGACTATATTTAATGAAATAAAATAAAAAATAATAAATATTTACTAAAATTAACTTCTTGTGTGGAATTATCTTTGGATAAACGAATTTCATAATTGCGTTCAAAAGTTATTTAATTCGCTTAAAAAGTTCACGAGATATGGCGAAATGCGCAAAAAGTAAAATTAACGTTAAGAGGTTCAAACTTTGGATCGCTCTACTGATCAAACTATGGGAACCATAGCTCACAGATTGTTACTACCTAATTGCTGGTATTTTGGGGGTCAAAAATCCGTTGAAAAAAAAGGTATGTTTATTCCGAAAAAGTACGTTTTTGTGTCTGATTTAAATATCACCCATAAACTAATTAATTAGAATATTTTGAGGTCACCTCCTCGAGCCATTAAGATTTAGCCCCTTGAACGTGAAAATCAGATCATTAGATCAAAAGTTATTCAGGTCCGTTTTTGTTTTGTTTTTTCGCACTGAAGACATAAAACATGCTTATTGAAATATTTCTAATCACTCAATGTGGGTTATCAGTTCTGATGAAATTTCAAAAATATGCTCACAATTATTAATGTAATAATAATTTCCCCACCACAGCTCCTATAAAATTGCAAATTTCAGCATTGATGTACAATTTTTTTTCTGCCACTACTTATTTTCCTCCTGGCTAACTTTCCTCTCCATTGACACAGAAATTTGACATTTGTTTTGCAATTTTGAATCATGACTTTCAATTTTTCTTTAACTTATTAGATTATGTGTGTCTTAGAATTATTATGAAACTTTTTTGAACAAAAGAAATTGGTAAATTCCACGGACAACAATGGAAAACTGTGTCAGGCCGTTATGTTTTCATGTTGTGTAGAGAAATAAAAATATTTCAATTGTTCATACACCGAAGAGCCATTACATTATGACATCTAAAACAATGGTTTCTCGCCCTGGAACAATGCTTTCGTGGGGCACATTAGAACCCATAATCCTCATAGAACAATCCCTGACGTCTGTTAGCTACTTGAACATAGTTGCAGACCAGGTTCACCCGTTCGTGGTTACAGTTTTTCCTGAGGGGGTTGGTGTTTATCAACAGGATAATGCACCATGTCATAAGGGTCGAATAGTCATGGATTCGTTCGAGGAACATTCCATTGACTTTCAAGTCATGCCTTGGCCCCCAAATTCACCTGGCCTTAATCCAATAGAACAGTTGTGGTCCTATTTGTTAAACCAAATTCGTGCTGCCCCGCTACCCCCTCGCAATGTGAGGGAATTGCAGAACCAGTTGGTGAGCGCTTGGTACCAGATACCTCAGATTACCTATCAGCACCTTGTGGAATCAATGCCACGGCGGGTGCTAGCAGTTTTGAGGGCTAAAGTTGGTCTTATATGTTATTAGCAGAATGTTTATAATGTAATGGCTCTTCGGTGTATATTATGGTAGGCATGAGATTGTTATTTCTCGAAAATGAATTTTTAAAAAATTGAATAATTAAGTTACTAGTTCTATCTTTAAAAAAAATCCTATTCCTCCCGAAATGATGCCTAATTTGGTTAAACACCTGCGATGAGCAAAACTTGTCGATTGTGATTTTCAGGAGCCATTGCTTGTCAGACGGTGACGTCATCTTGTCCATCAGGGAATTCGATACTAAAGGAATGAGTAAGAAAGATGTGAAGAGATATTTCAAAGATTCCAATCCTCGCCTTAACATGAAAGTGGAATATGTCACTCGGGAAGCATGTAAGTACAAATTATCATTTTCTTGATTATTCTTCACCTCTTCCTTTTTTTTCACATTTGTACTCCCTGCCTAATACAGGATACCCAAAGACATAGCTACCAACTTTCTCGGTTTTCCCGGAAGATTTTATTTTCATATTTAAAGTGATAGTGAAACTCATGTTATTCCATTAAACTTTTTGAATTAATTAAACTCATTTATAATAATTATAAATGAGTTTGAGCACCACTACACATAAATAATTACAACAAATATATAAAACCCTAATGGTCTTAACGACAGCGAATTTCAACTTGGCCAAGATATAAATATATTTTTGAGTAAGATTGTTTTTCGGTAATTGTTTAACACTTGTAAAATCCATTCTCCGAAAGAGTGAAAGTTGTCAATGCCAAAGACTAGTGATTTTTCAAGACCGAATTGTTTTTCACTTTAGGTTAAGGAAATAAAATCGAATTGATAATAAATTTGGTTGAGTGAAATCGAAAAGGAATTGCAATCGAAGTGAAATTTAATGCTCGGATTTTCAGGTACTCAATATGAATGATTTAAGAGCCTAACCTAAAATATGTTCGTAAAATAGTGCAAACATTAATTTAAGTTGCACAAGCAAACACAAAAAAGCACAGTTTCTGAATGAAGATACTTTTTTTCAGCCTATTTGGAGATTTGTCTCTCAAAATATGAGTATTAAACAACAGTCTTCAAAATATGGTTTCATTTGTTTAGGCAGGAGAATGGTCTAAAGTTCGAACCGTTTATTTTTGCGTTTTTACAATTATATCGAGAACTTTTTCAGTGAATCGAAAAACCTTCGTATTAAAATTTGTTTATGTAAAGATAATTCCATGCAAAAAATATTGTTTAATGATTACTTATTATTTTTCTAATGGTCAAATAAATGTAAAGTATAAAATTTTTTTACATCATTTTAAAGAATATTTTTAATGACACAAAAAAATTTGAACGAAATCGTCCGAACGGATCTCGAGAAATCAAATTTTAAATATACGACTTTTTTTCCCCTTAATCACCATAAATAAATCAATATTATAAAATATTCTTTTTCGGTCAACTCCTCCTTGAAGCTGCATGATAGCTGTCAGTTAGTCTTGGTAAATAATGTACCACAATTTTGCGTTCCAACCAACCGAAACGAATTAAACCAAGCATTAATACTAACAAGATGTAATGGTATAAGAGCTGCTTGTGGAATATTTTTTATAAGCAAAATAAAAATATTTAAACAGATTTTGTATGCGAATATATTCCTAAAAATTTCCCTTAGTCAAAGAAAATACACTAAGTTCCAATAGGACTGAATTGTTTTATTTATTTATTTATTTCAGATAATTTCTAAGGTTTGAAAAAAATTGATACAATTATTTGGTTATAAATTATCTAATACTACAATTTTTACCTTATAAAATATGTCGCCCAACTCTAATCGTCTCGCATACGAAGAGGCTGTAAAAGATTGCTTTAATTCAAGGTTTCTCATTAATCAAAAACTTAGATAAATATTTTAAAAGATTAACATTAATAGATTAAATTTTAAAAAGAAATGTTTTAAAAATTCTATTTTTGTCATAAAAATTCCTTTATTTGATATAAATAGAATTTTTGACTTTTAAATAAGATAATTAGTCTATTGAGAAATCGTTTAAAAATGATATCTTTTAAGTTGCTTTTTCTATGGTTTTCGTTACCGTACATAGGTCGAAATTTTTGTGATAAAAAAATCAAAGAAATCGAACAATTTCATCTTTCCTAAAATTTATATCTTCGCAAACAGTGAAAAATAGCTCTAGTTTTTTTTAAATATATATTTATGTAAAAACGACAAATTGTATAAAAATATTTAGCTTGATTTTCGAGAACCCTTTCTAAAAATATTTTTTTGATATTTATTTATTTCTAAGAAATTTTATGTAACAACAAAATAAGAATAGTAATATGTTTTTTTAAATTCTTTCCCTTTTGTAATTTATTAATCGAAAAATTAAACTTGTTCACTTATATATACTGCCTTTAAGTTAATAGAATTTCTTCATATCTCTTCTCAGGTTTCGGTTATTGTAGAATATACTCCTCCCAGAGAATGTTTCTGGCTTTGAGAAAAGTAAACGGAACTTTCGGATTTGTTTTAAGAAAAAGTTCAGAGCTCTTGGAATATCCAGTCATCAGCAGCATCAAGCATGGGAGTCCAGCTGATAGGTACACCATTTAGATTTCTCTAAATAGGTAGCCTAATTGAAAGCTTTTTAGTTAGGCTAATTTCGACTTATTTTTCCCAAATACTTATCCTTAAAAATGCATACATTCGTCGTCATTAGTTCTCTTAAGAAAAGGCAAACTAATCAAATCATACAAATCATGTTGTATATTCAATCTAAAAAGAAGGGTTTAATTTTTGGCAGTTGGAGCCAAGATTAACTAAACTGAGTAAAAAAAAGAGGAAAAAGAAAGAAAAAAAAGGAAGGAAATCTTGGAAACATCTTTGTTGTACTGAAAATATCAAACCCTTTGAAGATCTGATTTCTTTCAAGTCGTAATATTGTTAGTATTCAGTCATAAAATACAACAATATAGTCCTTATTGAATATCATACAACTTGTACTTGATTGATGCCGCACCAAATTCTCTAGGGTCTACATAGATCATGGTTCTCTGTATTATCATTTTAACTAGGTCGGTAACCATTTCTAGCTCCGTTTAATCTATTTCTAACGTCGAATGTGTTGATAGCAAAATATTATTTCTGTTTTCTTGTGCAGAGAAGGGATTTTGATGGACGGAGACAGATTGTTGGAAGTTGACAATCAGAACTTGTCTTGGATTCCATTGGCAGAAGCAGTCAGTTTCCTGCAAAACAAAGACGAAGTCTTACTTCTCATCGAATATAATGTTGGAATTATTGGTAAGGTATTTTAAGTTCAGTATTTTAAAGTCTCTTTAGCCAGTGTCCTTTATGCTGATAATGATAATGATGCAAAATATCAATTGCCATTTCAGATAAATATTAGTATCTTTCTCACACAACCAACTCTCCAAATGCACAATCTGAGTTTCTATGATCCTTAACTAATTTTCGATTGTTTTGCCAATTCAGTTTTATAATTTTAAAATGAGCAAAATGTTTTGGGTTAACGTTTTATGCAATTATGTTAAATCACAAAATTATTTAAAATATATATGACATGTTTGGAAGGTACGTTTGATATGGTATGTTAGGAAGATATGTTTGATATGATATGTTAGGAAGATATGTTTGACATATGTTTAGAAAATGTGTTTTATATATGTTTGGAAAATATGTTTGGAAGATATGTTTGATATATATTTGGAAGGTAAACTGCACAAAAAAATAAGTTATTTCTTTAACACTAGATTACCCAAGGAAGTCATTTTGACTGTTTTTTAATTTCAATTGGAAAAACAATGCATATAATGACACAATTTCTTAGAATTTTGTGACTTTTTGTGCAACGTATAATTTTTTTATTGTTAATATTTACTAATAACTTGTTATATAACTGTAAATAATATAAAAAATTTTAAAAATTACTTTTAAACAAATTTATTTACGCATTTACAATCCTGTCATTTTGACTGCTTTGGGGCAATATAGGTATATACTAATTTTCCGTCTTTCTAGTGTTAAGAAATTCTTTGAAACTATATTTTCTAATCATCAAAGATGATTTCATACAAATGTGAAGTACAGATTTCAATTGCACCAATATAATTATAATATAATATCAAGCGTGAGCTATTTTTGATCGGTAATTATGAAGATCCGATTTAAAGTTTTGCTCAATCTAAAAATTATNTGTATATTATGGTAGGCATGAGATTGTTATTTCTCGAAAATGAATTTTTAAAAAATTGAATAATTAAGTTACTAGTTCTATCTTTAAAAAAAATCCTATTCCTCCCGAAATGATGCCTAATTTGGTTAAACACCTGCGATGAGCAAAACTTGTCGATTGTGATTTTCAGGAGCCATTGCTTGTCAGACGGTGACGTCATCTTGTCCATCAGGGAATTCGATACTAAAGGAATGAGTAAGAAAGATGTGAAGAGATATTTCAAAGATTCCAATCCTCGCCTTAACATGAAAGTGGAATATGTCACTCGGGAAGCATGTAAGAACAAATTATCATTTTCTTGATTATTCTTCACCTCTGCCTTTTTTTTCACATTTGTACTCCCTGCCTAATACAGGATGCCCAAAGATATAGCTGCCAACTTTTCCGGTTTTCCCGTTTCCCGGTTTTCCGATTATTAATTGTTAAATGATTTTATTTTCATATTTAAAGTGGTAGCGGAACTCATTAAACTTTTCTCATTAAATTTCCATTAAACTTTTTAAATTATTATAATAATTATAAATGAGTTTAATCACCACTACACATAAATAATTACAACAAATATACAAAGGCCTAATAGTCTTAACGATAGCGAATTTCAACCTGGTCCAGATATAAATATATTTTTGAGTAAGATTGTTTTGTAATTTTATAACCGTCGTTGAACAGCGGACCCAATTTTTGGGTTTACGACTACTAATGTTCAACTCCGTAGCCTTGTAATTTTAAACCCAATCCAGAAGATAAGAGAACTCCTGGATCAAGTATTGGGATAAATTTACCTTCGTGGAGGACTTTTTGATGGAACTAACCCGCATTTGCGTTACATAGTAGGAAGACCACGAGAACCTCCACACGGTTAGCCAGATGGCAAGGGGACTCTAACCCATCATCCGTCTGCCACCGAGGATATTTCACGTCAGCACGTTGGTCGGTGCAAGCCGGATGTGGAATTCGTATCGACTGAGATTCGAACCCTGTTCGCCTCATTGGAAGATGAACGCTCTATCCCTTGAGCCATTGCGGCTCTGAGTAAGATTGTTTGTCGGTAATTGTTTAACACTTGTGAAATCCATTCTCCGAAAGAGTGAAAGTTGTCAATGCCAAAGACTAGTGATTTTTCACGCCAAATTGTTTTTCACTTTAGGTTAAGGAAATAAAATCGAATTGATAATAAATTTGGTTTGGAAGTGAAATCGGAAAAGAATCACAATCAAAGTGAAATTGAATGCTCGGATTTTCAGGTACTCAATATGAATGATTTAAGAGTCTAGCCTAAAATATGTTCGTAAAATAGTGCAAACATTAATTTAAGTTGCGCAAACAAACACAAAAAAGTACAGTTTCTGAATGAAGATACTTTTTTTCAGCCTATTTGGAGATTTGCCTCTCAAAATATGAGTATTAAACAACAGTCTTCAAAATATGATTTCATTTGTTTAGGCAGGAGAATGGTCTAAAGTTCGGGACACTTTATTTTTGGAGTTTTTACCATTATCTCGAGAACTTTTTAAACGAATCGAAAAATCTTCGTAATAAAATTCGTTTATGCAGAAATAATTCCACGCAAAAAAATATTGTTTAATGATTACTAATTATTTTTGTAATGGTCAAATAAATGTAAAGTATACAATTTTTTTACATCATCTTAAAAAATATTTTTAATGGCACAAAAAGATTGGACAAAATCGACTGAATGGTTCTCGAGAAAGCAAATTTTAAATATACTACTCTTTTCCTTAATCACTATAAATAAATGAAAATAACAAAATATACTTTTTCAATCAACTCCACCTTAAAGCTGCCTGATAGCCGTCAGTTAATCTTTGTAAACAATGTATATTTACCGTCATTTTGCATTCTAACCAACCGCAACCAACTAAACCAATCATCAATGCAAACAAGATGCAATGGTAGAAGAGCTGCTGATGGAATATTTTTTATAAACAAAATAAAAATATTTAAACCGATTTTGTATGCAAATATATTCCTAAATACTTTACGTAGACAAAGAAAGTACCCGAAGTTTCACTTACCAATAGGACGGAATTGTTCTATTTATTTGCTTATTTATTTCAGATAATTTTTAAGGTTTGAAAAAAATTCATACAGTTTATCTTGACGAATTCAAAGTAATTATTTTACTATAAATTACCTAAATCTACAATTTTTACTTTATAAGATATGTCGCCCAACTCTAATTGTCTCGCATGCAAGGAGAACTGTTGGCTTTAAAATATTGCTTTAATTCAACAATTCTCCTTAATCAAAAACTTGGAAAAATGTTTTAAAAGAGTTACATTAAATTTAAAGAAAATTATTTTAAAAATTCTATTTCTGTCATAAAAATTCCATTAATTGAAATGAATAGAATTTCTGATTTTTAAATAGAATAGTCTATTGAGAAATATATATATCTATATCTATATTTCCAAAACTACAAATTGTATAAAAATATTTAGCTAGATTTTCGAAAACCCTTTCTAAAAATATATTTTCGATATTTACTTATTTACTATATGTTATTATATGTTATTAATTATTACTTATTTAAATTTAACGCAGCAGCAAAATAAGAATGGTAATATGTTTTTTTTTAAATTTTTTCCCTTTTGTAATTTATTAATTAAAAAAATTAAACTTGTTTAATTATATATACTGTCTTTAAATTATCAGAATTTCTTCATATCTTTTCTCAGGTTTTGGTTATTGTAGAATATATTCATCCCAGAGAATGTTTCTGGCTTTGAGAAAAGTAAACGGAACTTTTGGATTTGTTTTAAGAAAAAGTTCAGAACTTTTAGAATATCCAGTCATCAGCAGCATCAAGCATGGGAGTCCAGCTGATAGGTACATAACTTCAATTTTTTTTAAATAGGCAGCCTAATAGAAAGCTTTTTAATAAGGCTAATTTTTACTTATTTTTCCCAAATACTTATCCCTAAGAAATGCATACATTCGCCGTCATTAGTTCTCTTAAGGAAAAGGCAAGCTAATCAAATCATATTGTATATTCAATCTAAAAGGAAGGGTTTAATTTTTGGTCGTTGGAGCCAAGATTAACTTTAAAAAAAGAGGAAAAGGAAAGAAAAAAAAAGCACTGGGAAATCTTGGGGACATCTGGGCTTTGTTGTACTGAAAATATCAAACCCTTTAAAGATCTGATTTCTTTCAAGTAGTAGTATCGCTAGTATTCAATAATATAATACTACAACAATATAGTCCTTATTGAATATTTGGTACTTTGTTGACTTGGTACTTTATTGATGCCGCATCAAATTTTCTAGGGACTACATAGATCAAGTTGCTCTGTACTATAATTTTTCGAGGCCAATAACCATTTCTAGCTCCGGTTGATCATTTCTAATCATCACTACATCGAACGTGTTAATTAAAAAATTATTATTTCCGTTTTTTTGTGTAGAGAAGGGACTTTGATGGACGGAGACAGATTGCTGGAGGTTGACAATCAGAACTTGTCTTGGATTCCATTGGCAGAAGTAGTCAGTTTCCTGCAAAACAAAGACGAAGTCTTACTTCTCATCGAATATAATGTTGGAATTATTGGTAAGGTATTTTAAGTTCAGTATTTTAAAGTCTCTTTAGCCAGTGTTCTTTATGCTGATAATGATAATGGTGCAAAATGTTAATTGCCTTACCATTTCAGATAAATATTAGTATCTTTCTCACGTAATCAACTCTCAAAATGCTCAACCAGAGTTTCCACGATCCTTAACCAATTTTTTTATTATTTGGCCAATTCAGTTTGATAATCTCAAAATGAGAAAAAAATATTTTTGGTTAATTTTAATTTTTTTATACAATTATTTTAAATCACAAAATTATTTAAAATTTATTTGACATGTTTGGAAGGTACGTTTGATATGGCATGTTTGAAGACATGTTTGGAAGATAAACTGCACAGAAAAATATATCATTTAAGTTGTTGATATTTGAAAAATTAAGCAGCAAACTTCACATTTTTCATGTCATATAATGTTCAGTTTACTGTGTTCTGTTTAGGCTCTGTTCTTACAAAAAATGTTTCGTAAATAATATTAATAATGTTAAAAAGGTTTAAAGTGATCTGTCATTTATTTTCTTAGATTTGACCGAAGAAAAAGACACTCACTTGGAAATAACTTGTCCTGATGCCAATCTCGGGATGACAGTGGTCAATGATGAAAACTCGAAAATGATTATATCATTCATTCAACAAGGCAGCTTAGCTCAGAGGTATTTATTTACTATCATTGCTATGTGAGTGTGCTCTCAAACTGCCCTTAATTAAATTAATATATATATATANTTGACGAATGATTTTTTTCAACAGAAAATTATATATATATATATATATATATATCCTTTAATTCAATAATATCTTAGTGTTTTCTTTGTTTCAGATGTGGCGTGTTTCAGGTGCAAGATGAAATTTTGTCAATAAACGGAGTCGATGTAAAAACCATGTCCTCAACTAAAGCAAATGATCTCCTTCGGCGGTTTAGAAAAGGTTTTGGAAAACTTACCTTCTTACACAAAGGTGAAAATTTGACAAGATAGTTTCACCTGAATTAGATTTTCTATGCCAAAAGAGAGGTCTGTAGTTTCAAAATTGCTTATACCAATAGGGAAGAGAATAATTGGGAAAACAGTCTGTGTATGGCTATCGTAATCTTTAAAAGCTAATTATTTCAAAACTAATGTAGCATATAGCAGGGCTGCCAATTATTACGCGCTTTGCAAAATATTGTATTGAGTGGTAGACTGTTAAAAACTAAAATTTTCTAAATTTTGCCTATATTTTAAGTTTTTGAGTTTTAACAGTAACATATAAATATATGTATATGTATGTATATGTATGTAAATTTACTGGGCTCCGAGAATGTGAAGAATGTTGGTAGCCAGTAAAACTATTAGCACCTTCCCCCGTCACACCTATGTATTTCTACGTAATGCTGAAAATCCAGATATTTTTATTTCTAAGTTATACGGCCCATGACACTACAAACGTATATGAGTAATCGCGGTATGAGTAATCGTCCATCGATTTTAAACCATATTCTTTTCATTTTATACAGATTTCATCGTAAATCCATCCATATGGTTTTCCAGCTATTAGTGTTACAAATCTCAGCGCGTTATTTTATTTACTTATTTCTTATTTGCTTTTATTTATTTATTTGAAATCCTGTTACATTTTATTGGACATTATTATGAAGGGTTTATTCAAATTTCGTTTTCGCGCCGATTTCCCCTTAATCTAATCCACATGTCTTAAATCCACATTTTTTCAACCAATCTTTTAGGCAGTTACGCCCATTAATTTCTAAATAATTTTAAAAATCTCGATATTTTTAAAACCAACGCTGTTGCGTCAAGTTGCACATTTGAGTAATCACCTTTCGATTTTTGATCACTTAGTTTGCTTTTACATTGACTTCATTGTAAATCCATGTAGTTTTCGATCGCGATTCCGTAGTTATTGTTACGAATTCCTACATGATTTTTTTTTTAAATTTTTAATTTTTATCACGATATAATGACAAAACGTGAAATTAGAAATTTAAGAAACACGTGACAGTGTGAAGATAAGGAAAAATAAGATTTTTCCTCCTGTCGAAACCAGGGGCGACAACGGAAAGAAATATCTTTCGAACACAATTTTTCCGACAGATTATTTTAATAAATAGTAAGATATCAAAAAAAGATCAAATCATAATTGAAAAGTTATAAATGTAGTTATCACACAAAATTTATTGTTCGCCAGTGGTGGTCGTGCGACAGTATATCACTAACAAGGGAAACTAGGGAAGTGTGACTCGCCAATTTTGAAATAAACTAGTGGAATGTATGCCTTATGAGGAATAATTTTAGGGGGCAACATTCGTTTCGGCCCATAGAAGGTCCTGTGAGAGATAAAAAATAATTCAATATATAGAAAAATCGGTATTTTATTACTTCAATGCAGACTATTAATTATTGTAATTGTCTCATTATCTAATTAATTTGTAATTAATTTGCTAATTAATAAATTAATCAGAAAATTAATTAATTATTAATTAATTATTAATAATTAATTGATTTGCAATTACATACTCCAATTAATTTGGAAAGTTTTTTGGAGAAAAAATTTAAAAAATTTGATGTCAATTTTTTTTTTTAAATTAACCTAACAGGTTTTTNTATGCAGGCTTAGCGATATACTGTAAATATGTAAATATATATTTACAAGTATAAAATATCTTTGTAAATATAAAAATAATTATACTTAAAGATAATCATTTTTCTAGGTAAGAATACGAAACTTGAAACCAGTGTTTGTCAGGCGACATCCAAGTCAGAATGTTCCTCGCAAACTTTCTCATCATCTTTGCCTGTTCCTCCAAACAGCTGGTCCAGTTCCTATTACGATCCCATACCGGAAGATGATTTCTTCAAAGTCATGGAAAATTATAAAACTCAAAATGATTACCAGTTGAAAATCATGTCCATACTAAAGGATATACAGATGAATGTAGGTAACATTCAACAAAGCTTACCGAATGAGACCTCAGACATAATACAAGACGCAAGTCTGTCAAGAGATGAAATAAATACCAACGAGAGTTATCAAAGTGATAAAAATAGTGAGTTAGAAAAACTCAAAGGACAATTTGACCTGCTATTGAATTTGACGCATGCTCTGCTCATTCGTGTTATTAAAAACTCGGCTAGAATGAATCACAATTTCTGCAATGACGCACAAGTAAGAACTCAACAGAGTGAAGACCCAATTATTGGTGACAAATGTACAATTGAATTTATCGACGCTGTGAATGATATTGCCAGTAGGAGACTCGTGTCAAAAACCTCTGCGAAAAAACTCATTCAGGCTGTTGTTGAAATTAATAGGAATTGTCGACTGTGCGTTAATGAATTCTACGCTGCCTCGTTTGCTGTACGTAAAGTGCATCTTTTACTTTCCCTGAACAATACGACTCAGCAAGAATATAACACAATTCGGCATGTGATGAAGAGAGTTTGCCAATTGCCTCTTCCATGTCATGATTGCATGTTACGATTTGGCACAGAGTCAACCACTGAAGCTCAAACTTGTCAAACAGTGCCAAAAGTTGAAAACAATTTGATTGCTCCGAGAACTAGAGGAGTTGGAGCTTCATCATCTTCTCCAGACTCAACTAAGTATACACCAAACGAAATTCGATCAACGAGCGATTCACAAGCATTGTCCGAGGCTCAAGTTGGTTTAAATTTATCTCAGCAAACAGTTATGTATAGCCTTAGAAGGAGCGAAAATACAAATGCAAAAACCACGAATTCTGAACCTTTTAATTCGTCTGGCGTAACAAATCTATCAATATCACCGTTCGAAAATGCTAAACAGTGTTGTTCTGCACGATATGACCAGGATGCTATAATTTATCCTGTTTACAATCAAACAGGAATGCGATGTGATTCTAACCGAGACAATATTTATGAAAACGATAAGCATTCAAGACCTAGCTCTACATTAACGAATGATTGTATGGTTAGTTCTACCTTAACTTCATTAACTGAAGCAGATAGACAAAGAGGGATATTAAACGAAGATGGTCAAAGCTTATCTTCTATCAGGCCAATAAATGCATTCGAAAGACATTCGACACCATTGCCTGAAACTCCAGCCCGTAAGCCTCTTTGTCAATGCAAAAGCTCTATGGGGTTTGAAGTCCATGCTGAAGAACCAATGGCCGGTACCAGTCACAAATCAGATGGTCATCTTGTAAAGACTAGCGCCAAGAAAGCAAATTTCACAAGTATGTAAAAATCATAATAATTTTTTATTAGGTTTGTAACTACCGTTACCCCTTACGTAAATAAATAGGTACCGCACGATTTCGCTTTTTGTTAGTAATCTTTCCTTCTTTATTTCCTAATGAGTATTTAATCGTCGCATAATTACGCGAAAAGAATGACTTGTTCCCAAATACACTGATGTTTGAAATAAAAGTTTTTAAATTTCATCGAATGTATACAGAACCACTGAAAAGTTTTTAATTTACCTATGCTTGAAGTTGGAGCCAACAAAAACATGATCAGAAAGTTTAACAATGATTGGAATTTTGATAAAACTTTTACAAGACTTAGAACCTGTTCTTTGAGTCAGCCTGACTCTTTATATATTATGTTTTAGTTATTAATGAGTAGTGGTGGTGTAAATTCTTTCAATTTTAGTTTACTGAAATATTAACGCGTGTCTTTTGCTACCACTAGAAAGAATACATTCTGAAACTACGGAAATTGCGTAGAATTTGAAAAGTATGTTGTATGCCATATGTATCGGAGTCTGAAAGCATGAAACAATGGTTAGAGGTAATCGAACAGAAAACAAAGGGTTGATGGGCGTATGTCCCAACTTCAATCTCTTTTCTATTATATACAAGCCTCAAATTTTGATTTTATACTGTAAATACGAGATTTCAGGAATTCTTTTACAGTTGGTCCCCCTTTGTTCAGCACCATTGTTTTCAAATGGTTGCCAGGTGTGAGTTGCCATTTCAAAGTGTCGCAAATCTGGGGTTGGGATTAGACACGGGAATCTATTCTGCTATTTTTTTTGCAGAAATTCGTCAACAACCGTGGTTTTTGTGTAATCGGGTGTTATACTTTGTTAAAATTAAATCCAGTCAACAGTACTCCTAAAAGAGTGAAAATTGTGTACCGGCACTTAATTTCTATAATCACACTAGTCTCAGTACCTTTTTAAGAGATTTGCGGGTGTATGTGTAGGTGACTATCCAGCATGATACCTGCACAGCCCATTAAACCTTCACTATCAAAATATTAGATGGAGGGTAAGTAGTATTGGCTCTCTTAACATGTAACAGTTTGATTCACAATCGATCACCTATTCGAATTGTATAAGAAGTTGTTATTCTTGAAAAACGCTTCGATAATCAAGTAGGCAAAGTATTTCTGTGCATGGCGCTATAAATTAATGGATGTTTTGAAAACTTGTAAAATACCCATCTGGAAACAATACTAAGTTATGCGTTGGAATTCATGCATCTTCTCTTTTTGTATATGAATGTCAACGGATTCTTAGATCTATTCTGACTCCGTCAGACCAGGTGCGAAATAAGCTACAACAACAACAACGTTGATGTAATAATTTTACCATTAGAAAAAGTATAACTTACCATTATTAACCGAAGTCGTCATAATTTCGTCAACTGTAGGTAACGTTTTATGCGAAAGAGGGGAAGAGTACCAGTTGTCATCAAATATCAATGCCTTATTTCAGAAATAATGATTCGACATTTCAACTTGTGTTCATTTCCTATTCATTTATTTATTTATTTTTCCAGCTCATCATACTGATCGTCAGGAAGTTTTGTTGAAGGCTGAAAATGGAGCATTTGGTTTCATTCTCGGTTACAGTTCTTTGTTAATGGATGATGAAAACCGTGTGCCAATCATATTCGCCATTAAGCCTTATAGTTCAGCACACAAGTAAGCTTTTTGAACCTAACTTTTGTGTAGAGAGATTTAGAACTTTCGCATTCCCTTGTTTGTTCTGAGCACTTACAACAGGACAATCTAGGGTCCTCAATAGAGTTTGCTCAGAACATATTGCAAATGAGCGTTCAGGATGCTTTGTGAAAGTACTATAAATCTCTATTTAGTCTTTTTGACCTTTAAATAGAATTTTAAAGTGGAAACATCAAGGAACAAGGGTTGAACAATTCTAAATGAGAGTCCTAGCTGTGTTACGGAGGCCTTAAGAAGAACTGCTGCAGCTTTTTTAGAATGCTAATAACAGATGATTGTCTGAGTTCTCATCTCTAACGAATTGGTGTCGTCGACTCACCTGACTGTACTCTCAGGAGCTCTGGTCAGATCATCATTGCTAAACATTTTGGCATGTGCCCTGCATTAAGTAGTATTAATTTTATTGTCGAAAAGTACTGGAGAGCACGTGTACAAATAGCATAAGTGCATGTTTTGTTGCCATCATTGCTTAAGGAGGCAATGCGTCCCTAAAGGAAAACGAGGGGCTGAATCGTCAGTAACTCCAGGAGATATCCTAGATCAATAATTTGTAGAATTTTAATTGGAATTAGTCTTAAATATTTAAACTCACAAAGCGCTTAACCCTTTGATGCAGATGGAATACCTGTTTTCCTTTTAGACACATATATTTTATGACGCTCTTATTACAAACAAAAATATATTTTGGAACTTTTTAATTGTAAAAAACAGTCTAATAGTTACTTAGAAAATCTCTTTCGTTAGATTATCGGAATTGTATTTGTACTAAAATATATAAAAATCTAAAAAATGCAGGTTGAATTTCTTTTTTCGTTCATATTCAAAAGTTCATATCCATACTTTCAGGTAATTATCATATTTGATTTTGTTTCATGTCAGCATAAATTGTACTAAATATTTAAATAAATTTTATTTCTGACTACCATTTTAAATCTTAAAATACTTCGAAATAAACTTATTTAAAAAGAGGCGGTTAGTGTAAAATAAAAAAGTTAAAAAAAAGTATATATATTTACTATCAACGCTGGAAATATTAATGAAATACAATAAGAATGGTATGTTTTCGTTATATCGCTCATTTGGTGAAGCAATGACGTAACTGCAAATTCAAGTAACGTCATTGTTTCACCAAATGAACGATATAAAAAATATTATTTTTCCTTTGAAAAACAGCGACCAATGGCAAAATAAAGGATAAATTCGGATTATTTATTTATTTATTTATTTTATTTATTATTATTTTTTTAACATTTCTTTCGATACTTTAGAGGGAATAGAGTGTTCTATATACCGCCCATTTGGTGAAACAATGACGTAATTTTGCAGTTATGCCAATTGTTTCACCAAATGAGCGATATTATTAACAAAACTGTTAAGTGTTCATCGAATTGTTTAAATGATAATATACTTATCGTAATGCATTCCTGTGTTTTTCATCAGGTGCGGATTGCTTAAAAAAGGTGACAGAATCCTTGCATTGAATGGGTATGGCACTGTCGGAATGTCCATCGGTGAGCTGGAATCTCTGCAGAGAGAGGTCTTCAACATCGACGAGGTTGTCATGACTGTAGAATTCGACGTCATGGATGCTGAAGACAGGTGGGGCACTTTCACCCTCCATCTCGAAACTTGTCTCAAATTGGGACTTGTCATGGACGGTAAGAACTTCTAACAAATACTGACTTTCTTTTCAAACTACAATAAAAACATAAACAACTAGCTAAATAAAATAATAACAATAACAGAACTCAAACAATAATACATACATTAAGTTTCGATTTCTAAAATACAACCAAGAGAAGTTTTGTTCACCCTTCAATGCACATCAAAGTTCCACGCGTTATTTCAAATAAAGGTCGTTTGAAAATAAAAACCAAGCGAAAGAAAATTTTCACGAAGCAAATTTATTTTCAGATTCTACATGCAGATTCCCAATTTTTCAACATAGCTGTCAAGTTTGTTTAAAAAATTTATCATTCGAGCAGTGGCTCAGGGGATAGAGCTTTCGCCTATCAATGAGGTGATCTAGGTGCAATTCCCAGCGATGGCTGGCTAGTACGAATTCTGCAATCGACTCGCGCCGACCACAATGCTGATGTAAAATATCATCAGAGGTAAATGGATTATGGGTTAGAATCCCCTTGCCGTCGGGATAACCGAGGGAGTTTTTCCTCTTCGTGTTACGCAAGGGCGGGACAGTTCCATGAAAAAGTTCTCCACGAAAACTAGTTTGTCCCAATGCTTGTTCCAGAAATCGTGGTGGCTCAGGAGATAGAGCGTTTACCTTCCGATGAGAGGAACTGGGTTTGAATCTCAGTGATGGCTGGTTGATACAAATTCCGCACCCTGCTCGCATCAACCACAGCACCGATGTAAATTATCCCAAGTGGTAGACGGATCATTGGTTTGAGTCCTCTTGCCGTCAGGCTAACCGTGGGAGGTTTTCGTACTTTTCCTCTCCATGTAACTTAAATCCTCGTTAGTTTCAACAAAAAGTCCTCCGTAAAGGCAAATTCTTCCTAATAATTGATCCAGGAGTTCCCTTGTCTTCTGGATTGGATTCAAAATTGATAGGCTACGGAGTTGAACATTAGTAGTCATAAACCCAAAAATCGAATCAGCTGTTCAACGATGGTTATAAAATAAAATAAAGCATTTATCATATCCTACAATCAGACTTAGAATACCCTCTTCATAAAAACTTGCCGCCTGATCCGGTAAACAAAAGATCACAGCCGTTTTCACGTCTTTTTCATCGTTGTAGTAGTGGTTGCCACCGCGATAGCAGGAGAGATGAATATCGTTCAGCGCAAGGTCTGGGCTGTAGAGGGAGTGTTCGAAGTGTACACAACAAAACGGATCTTATTTAAAAGGCACCAAATTTATATATATATATATATATATNCAAACTATATATATATATATATATATACACTACTAAACTCAGTGGCGCTACAGCCCATAGAGGGCTGAGGCCTACTCAGCCCACCTCAGTTTTCTTGACCTTGGGCTATGGGGTGCTGGAGCAGATGTTACGGTTAGGTGGTCAGCCGAACGCGAAACCCCCTGTGTTTAGCTCCCAAGCATGCTTGGTACTCATTTATCGACCCACTGAAGGGATGAAAGGCTGAGTCAACCTTGCCCGGCCCGAGGATCGAACCCAGGACCTGTGGCACTGGAGTGCGAAGCGCTACCATTCCGCCGCCGGGCGTCAAATTTTATTATTATTAATAATATTGTTATTATTGTTAATAATAATAATAACAACAACAACGCAGCCAACAAACTATATCGTTCTCTCATAAAGAATTCGATTGATGTGAATAACTGATTAAAAATAATCAAATTTTCGATTCTATTGTTTTAAACTGTATTGCAAACTAAATCTTATGAAAGCAAAGAAGGTCGGGACGTTGAAAAAAAAAGAAGAAACTGTCACGCCATGCTATGATGTCATGGAGAACTTCCGGCAGGGTTTGTTTGTTTTTTAGGATAGAAGATAAATTCAAATACCACCACTGCCGAAGGTTTTTCCAATGTAAATTGAGGTACTCTTCAGCTCGAAAATCTGACTTACGCCACCAGCTATCTTTTCAAACTTCTATAATAGGCTTTCTAAAAAATTTTTTGTTGCAAATTGGTTGCCTCAACGCGGTATGAGGGAGAGACTAGGCTACGCAGTCCTCGGAAGTTGCAGCCTTCACTCTTAATTAATGAGGTTCCACCTTACCGATCCTAGTTACTCCTTGCAAGAAAGTGTGTTTGATACACTTTCCTAATACTGACTTTCTTAATGCATATGGTTTGCTTTCATTGGTTTACTTTTCCTTCNCTAAAATTATTCCTGATAAGGCATACGTCCCACTAGTTTATTTCAAAATTGGCGAGTCACACTTCCCTAGTTTCCTTTGTAAGTGGTTTTATTCATGGGACACACGGACAATCTATTTTTGTTTTAATAATGCTGTTGACATTAATTGTAATGTTTTTAATAATATGAACATAATTCAAAGCTATTTTGAAGATGGTTTGTGCTTTTTTCCTCCTCAGAGCCGAAATATCCATCATTTGTTCGAGGTGTAGTGAAAGGTTCGTCTTCTCACCGTTCGGGTCAGCTGTTTGCCGGTGACGAAATCCTATCATTTTCAACTCTAAAAGAAGATACTTTAAATCTGCAGACAATGACTATGCGTAAGACAAAGACCCACCAACTCACTGTTCTCAGGGAGAAAAGTAAGCATTTAACTATAAACTCCTAAAAAACAGAGCTGTGAAGTTTATAGTCGAAATACTCGACACCAACTCTATTCGATGAAAAAAATTGCCAAATTCTAGGAGAGAATTGAGATTATTTGTTGTTGTTACATATGGCTTTATTGGAAATATTAATCCATATACAATGTTCAACTTTAAGTGGACTTAAACAAGGAGTAAAAAGGAACAAAATTACAATAACAAACAAAAAAAAAACACATGATAAAAGCATATTAACACAAAAAGAACACATAGATAAAATTAAAGTAAGAAAAAAAAATATATATACAGATTATTTGTAAATTAATATTAATTCTAAATTGCATGTTTCAATTTTTAAAAAAATAAGATTTGAGTTGATTTTATTTAAATTGAGATTACACGTCATATTTTAATATAATAAAGTAAAACATTCTCACAACAGCCTGTTGTGGCCAGAAGGGTAATGAAAATTAAGGCTTTACGATTTCGTGAGAAAGGGCATTTTTGTGACAATGGCGCAGGAGGCACTGATACCTATATACGAGTACGAAGACATGCCAAATGAGAATTTCGTAGGAAAATAAATTGGCGAGTTTTGTCAAAACAATAAGTAATAGTTAAATTCGCTCATTTTGGCGTTTTCTCAAAAACAAATCTATTACGGTTAGAATAGGTAATCGAAAATTGTCAATAATTTAGCTTCCTTGATTTTAAACGACGGTTTCATGTTTTCCATCACGATGGATGTCAAGAGTATTTGAATTAACAACACGACGTTGAAGTTTTGCAAAAGGCGTAATACAGATCGCCTTGAAAACTCCAACCATAGGGCGTCTACATTTAATAAAGAAGACAGATAAACGGGAGACCCGGGAGAAAGCAGTATACACCAGCGAAATGTATGAGTTCGTGGAAGGAGTTCTGTATGATCCACGCATCATTGATTGATGGTAAGTCCCGATGAATTAAAGAGGAACGTTATAAAAACTGTAAACGCAATTTCCCAAAAATCATGTTTTCCTTTTTTGTCGTTTGGATTAAAACAAAACGATTCAATTGATTTGGAAGTCGCTTTGGAAATTTGCGGAGGATTGATGGGACAATGGTTAGAACCGACGAAAATTGAACCTATTCTTAAATTACAAATTTTTTTATGTATGTCTAATTACCAAAAAAGTTCACTTTTTCACTTTTTTTTAAATGACTCCCATTTTCCGAAAAAATAAAATTTTTCAGATTTTTTTGGTTCTATCTATAGCTACATGATTGTTAATTCATACATAATCGTTAATTTTTTGTTCTCGTTCGTTACAGAGATCGAGATACGCCTGTCCATTTGTGCTTGTCATGCACTGCCATTTTCATTTTTATATCAGTTAATTTATAATTATTTCTGTCTAGGGAAAAATTAAAACTCAACTGAAAGGTGAAGGATTAAAACGAGGAATTCATTATATAACTCATTATTTTTTACTGAGGAAAAAAAATCCAAAAATGAGGCTTAAACTTGGCTTCTAGACCAGATAACTCCTTATTTATAAACACTTTTCTAAATAATCTTTATAACATCAAAATTTCTTTTCCTTTTTTTACGTACAGGATTTTTAACTAACTGGAGTTGAAGTTTGAGCATATTTTCCCGACTCCACAGTTCCTCTTAAAAGTATAAGATGAGGATGTAGGTTTTCAGGTGTCCTAAAAATTATTGTGTGTAGGGCATACCTATTTAATATGTTTCTAAATAACCTCCACCTGTCTTAATATGCTTCTATACTTGGATGCAAATTATTTAAGACTTCGTTCGGATTGCTTTTCCATTTTGACGTTCTTAATGTCTTCAACAACCTTAAATCTGGTTTATTTAGAAAAGGTTTTAGTTTCGAAAGCAAAAAATCTGCCTGAAGAATGTAGTGAATGATTAATCTCCTCAATCTCGAAAACCAAATAAATTTTCTTTATATTTTCATTTACGAATATCAGAGACATTAAGAACATCAGGCTTGAAAAGTATTCTGAACAAAGACTTAAAAATTTTCTTTATGTAACTTCGTCATGCAGATAAAGAAACACGTGGAACATTACCGCAGATTGAGGATACTTCGAAGCATATTAAATGGGTATGCAATATTTTCAAGAGTTGAGAAAGCAGTCATCATGTTATCAGCCGCATCTTACCTGAGTACAATTGATCTTTATAATTCAGCGTTTTGACAAAGTTAAATGACGCTTTAAAACCACTTGATTTCTGTGATGCGGTCGTCACAATGCTTGTTGTGCCATTTGCCTACTGGACTGTCTCCTACTGAAGCACCCTCTTGGTTGTCTTTATCCTTTGCGAAATCTCTAGGGCTCAGCGCCTAGCGCGTTGACTGACCACTAAAGAGGGGACGTTCTCTTTTGGAGATAGATCAGTATTCTCCGTCGATAGTAGACTGAAGGTTGATTTTTTCTGCATTTTTTTCTCTCTCCCCCTGCGTGCTCACAAACTGTGGATTTCGTATTCATTTATTTTTTTATCCAATTGAAACTACCATCTTTTAACGTTAATTGTTTTAAACTTGTTACTACATTTTAATAACATGATAATACATAAATAATTTCCATATCTTCTCCCGGGAGCACACAGGAAGGACCTGGATCCACACGTGGGATCACATACCTTTTGCAATATCACGAATGCCATACTTTCTGCAATGTCACTAATCCCTTACCGAAGAATTTGCAATGTCACTAATGCCTTACCGAAGAAAAATAAAAGATGCTTTACCAAGTTAGTTGTTCCTTTTGAGATTCTCGACAACAGAACCTTCCCTGGGTTTAGATCCGAACAGCATTCACCATCAAATCTTCTACTCCCAATAAGACAACCTACTCCCATGTAACTATTTCGTTATCAAAATAACATTTGTGTTTAACGCAGCATAGCCGCTTTTGGTTTAGTTTCCAATTAAATAACGACCCTTACAACTTAATATGGTTTAACTTGAGTAGCGCAATGTAAACAATAAATGGGAAATATATATAAGGTTTTGCTATATTTTGCAGAACAACATTGAAATATTATCAAATGAACTCTTTTTAACATTTTTTTTTACAGACAATGAACGTAAAAAAGAAGCAAACAATAAACTTTTCGATCTACCCTTCAATCATAATTCTTTCGTTCAGAGCGGTCCTCAATTCAACATCAAGAGGACTTCGATCCGCACAATTGAAGGCCTCGAAGGTCAGGACAAACTAGTTCTGGAGCAAGACTTTACTCTTTTTCGAGATCCGTTGACTTGGGACTTTGGTTTCCTGTTTGGAGAGAATCCAAAGACCGGCAATGCTTATATCACCGATATCCGTCCAGGAGGTCCGGCCGACAACTCCAAAATCATCAAAAAATATGACAGGATTATAGAGGTAAGAAACAAAAATATATCCTATGCTACTACTATTTCAGGCTTGGAAAACGGACACGTGCTAAATTTGGCCCACCCCGTTATATTGTGTAACCTGCTTGTGGTTTTATATTTTTATTGAAACTTCTGTTCTTAATTGCATGTACTTTTAAAATTGAAGGCTCGTTGAGAATGATTCACTACAGATGTAGTACCTGTTTCGGTATAAGTAATAATAAGGAAGTAATAAAATGACCAATTTATAAGCTTAACTGCAAATGCATTTGAACCAATGGCGTAGCTAATTATTTGATGCACGTAAATTCATGAGCTTAAAAATTATCAATGAATCACGTAATGAAAGTGATTATGAAAATACTAATTTAGATTCTGTAGCGAATATATTCTGATCATGGCAATATCCTAGATTTTACATAAAGTCCCTGTGTCTAATGTAGTTAGACAATTACGACATACGGGTGAAAATCCGTGATTGTCTGAGACCCAGAATTTGCCGAAAGAAAAGTCAATATGTCCTGTGAATCTATTTGGGTTGGCCAAGAGAAAAATTACTAGACATGCACGATTTTTGCTTTTCTATTTTTTATTTCTTTATATTTTTAATAAAATAAACTGAATGAATTCTTCTATAAATTTGCATAGTAGATTCATATTTGCTTGCTGTTCAATAAACATGAAGTTTCAAGTGTGTTCAGAGGGTCTACAAATATTCAAAATAAAAAAATAAAATAGTAAATAAAAATACTAAAACAAAATAGATAAATAGAAAAAGTATAACTGGTTTTTGAAACTTCTTTAAAAATTAACTTTGTACTTTGATTCCTCTTTTTCCTTTTTTATTCAGAACTACTGTGAATTATGGTGGATGATATAAGTATTTGTTTTAAATACTGATATCAGCCACCTTAATTATCGAATCAAAGCAGCAAGTGATGACTCCAGAAATAATTCATATTTGATTATCGTCTCTCTGAAATAACATATACTGTATCGAAACTTATTGGACTGGGCCATAAAACTTTGCCTTTTTCTAAGCAATTTGGAACGAAATTTATACTCGTAATTGTTTCTTAGCCAGGGATAGCCTTGTCGGTAGGGCACTGGGGCCATGTCTGAGAGTTCGTGGGTTCGAACCCCGCCGGCCGAAGACTCCCAAAGGGTGACTGATGTACGTTAAATCTGTTGAGTCTTAAAGTCCTCCATGTTCCCATCAATACCCCTGGGGATACAGAAATGGAGATTGATCGTTCTCTGATTCAGGTCAAAATTACGATCTGTGGATGAATGAATGGATGTATGAATGGGTCCACCCTATAAACGGGCGTAACGTATTGGTGTGGCAGAAGTCTAATTCTTGGCCATAGATGGCGCCACTGGAAAAGAAAAACAATCGCACCCCTCTGCCTTAACAGGCATACGTCAACAACAACAATTGTTTCTTAATTTGCATAGTACAATGTTGTAATTCTGGGCACTCTTTTTCCATCGTCTTATATCGTTAGAAATTTTATTGGAGGTTTTAAAAAAATAAAAAGTTTAAAAAAATCTTAGAGAAATGCTTTTTCTAATAATTGAAAAAAAAATTAAATTGATGATATTTAATATGGTTTTTTTTATAAGTACTAAAACACACCATTTTTATTTTTATATGAATTAACTTTTTTTAAAGTTGGAAGTAGTAAGGTATTAATGCTTTTTAAACAGTAATTTAAACGAGAAATCAGATGATTGACCAGGGTAGACTATTCGCCTTCCAATGAGGCTACCCAAGTTCGAATCCCGATGATTGCTGCCCGATACTTCTACAGCTTGCAATAACCATTGCGCTGTTGAAAAATATCCCTAATGCCTTACGAATGATTAAATAAATTTCCTTTCCCTTTGGGATAAACATAGGAAGTTTCCATGGTTTTCCTCCTCATGTAACACAAATGCGAGTAAGTTTACAAATAAAATCTTCCATGAATGAGAGAGTGTTCCAATTGCTTGATTCAGGAGTTCCCTAGTTTTCAGGGTAGGGTTCAGCATTACTAGGTCATGAAATTAAAAATTGGTTTTGGTGCAAATGCAATATGAACCGGCTGTTCAACATCTAAAAAAGTTAAGTTAAAAGGGAAGGAGATGCATACACAATCTAAATTAAAATTTCTCAGTTTCGTAAAATTTTAAATAAATAGATGGATTCTCAAATTTGTAAAATGTAACAATAATAAATAATGTTTTATTTAAAAAAAATAAAGTATCCTTAAGCATTGAAATAATTTTGATAGGAAAGTTTCAATTATTATAATAGCTAGAAAGCATATTTTATTAGAATAATATCAAGAAAGTGAAACAGAAAGATATACTTAATAATATAAAAACTTAAATTGCTTTGAAAGCTTATGCAGGTGATGAAGGCAACATTATTCGTGCGTTCAAAACTAGGTGCCCTTTCTCAAGAATTGCTACACGAATGAGGAAAACAAAAATAGTTTGAAACTGAAAACATAACGTTCCCAACAAAAAAAAGGGAAAATTATGTAATATAATGTAATAATAAATAATATATAATATATATAATATAATAACAAACAATAATAATATATAATATAATAACAAACAATACTAATATATAATCTATAATATATTATAACGAAGAAAGGCTTATTTATTTTTCAAAATTCGTTGCCCTTTTCATTTATTTTTTTCAATTTCAAACATATCTTTTGTTTTTCTTATTCACTTGTAGTGAACTTTGAAAAAGGGTGTCTATTTTTGAAAATTGGAAACACATCGATTTGTACCGATTCATTAATTTTTTGAAGCGAATGAATTTTTTTTATTTTTTAGCATATATTATGTTAATTAAAAATATTTAATGAATTTTATTTCTGTCGTCTTTTAGGTGAATGGAGTACTAGTTGACAAAACAGCTGAAAATTCCGTTATGAATATGTTTATGAAAACCGAGGACAGTGTCAATCTAGTGACCAGGAGAGTTTTACGTTATAGATAATTTTGCTTTAATACTTAAAATTATTTATATTTCCATGAACTAAAAACTAAACTTATATTCATTAACTGGTAGGATATATCACATTTTTGGGAACAAAACATTTTACTATTATAATGCATAACAATTAAATTAATAACTACTTAACAATAATAATTATTTAACATTAGTAATTATTTAACATTAATAATGAATTTAATAATTGTTATTACATTTATTTTTACTCTCTTTGAATTGATCAATAAAACGTATATTTTTAAAAACATATCTAAGTGAAATGAATATTTATTTTATGTGGGATTTCAATAAGAATGCTATCAAAATTAACTCAAAAATTAAATAATTTTTAACTTTAAAAATTTAACGTTAAGTATAAAGCATGTGTGTTTAGCCAAAAGGATACACACTTATTGTAATCAAATATGAAAACAATAAACTATTTTATTGCTTTTCTGAAACTATGAATTTGATTAAATTGTCGTTCAATATATTGAAAGACAAAATATGTATACATAATTATACATATATGTATAAATATGTATAAAATATGTATACATATTTTCCAATGATTGCACGAAATGTTAAAAAAACTCACTCGCAGGAATCAGCAAATTTATTTTATCAGCAAATTTGCTTTTTATTTGATCATAGGAATGAAATTATTAATATCAGGATGCAAATTTATTTTAAAGTTTATGCATTTATAAATCTTTTTTATTACTATAAATTATTTTCAAATAAATTATTTAAAATTTATTTTCTCAGTAAATGCAAATAATAATTTAAGTAAATTTGTTTTTCTTGTTATGTATTTTCCTTATTAGCTATGATAATCAATTCCAAATTAAATAAGTTTTAAAAAAACTGCAATTCACTTTTTTGTGGTCTTAATGCTCTCCTACATTCTCATCGCTTTATTTTTAAAATGAAAATCGTAATTTAGATCTGCATAGTTCAGAGCTATTTAGCTTTTTGTGTACAAATGTAAATGAATCAATTAAGTAATTGTTAAACAAGTGTATTTTTATTATGAATTCTTATTTTTGCAATAAAGCATTATTCTATTGTATTTTCTCAATTAATATAAGTAATTGTTAAAATGAAAGATTGCTTTATTCAATGTAAATTCTTTGTTAGGTTGTCAAAGCTTTTTCTTTTCGAAGTAAAACAGTTTTTGTTATTGCAATTTTACTGTTTCTGCCATCAAAGCTGCGATATTTAGAGAGTTAAGGATNCACACAATGTCTTTCGCACTCTTAATGGAGAAGCTAAAGCTGTCCCTCTTGAAGTATGTGAACAGTGGTTAAATGAAACGTTACCAAATTTACTTTATGGATACAGTTAAAATGATGCTTTCAATATTGATGAAATGGGTTTATTTTTTAAATGTCTTCCAAATAAGGATATGATGTTTAAGGATTAAAACTGCTCAGGGGGTAAAATGAGTAAGGAACGTTTGACTGTCCTAGTTGGAGGAAATGCGTCTGGGACAGAGAAATTGCCTTTACTTGCTATCGGAAAATACCGAAATCCCCGATGTTTCAAGAATGTAAAAACGTATCCTTCGGATTACAAGTCTAACAAGAAGTTTTGGATGGCATCAGTATTATTTGAAGACTATTTAAGAAAATTGGATCGGAAATTCTTTGCTAAGAAAAGAAAACTGATACTCTTTATGGATAAATGCACAGCGCATAGTGATCTACCTAATTTGAATGCAGTAAACTTGCAGTTTCTCCCGCCAAACACAACAGCAAAGTTGCAGCCGATGGACCAGGGTATCATAAAGTGCTTCAAACAGTCTTATCGTAAATGGCTTGTCAGAAAAATGATCTTAAATATTGTAAGCATTTAGAAGATTTGTAATTAATAAGCATTAATTCAAAATTTCCGACAATATTTTGAAAGTCCAAAACCGAAACTAACGGTAAGTCGAACTTCCGATATGTCGAAGTTTTTCGTCAGTCCTATCAGATTCGAGTTATCGCGAATTCACTGTATATTCTTTGCTAGGTTGCCAAAGCTTTTTCTTTTCGAAGTAAAACAGTTTCGATTATTGCAATTTTACTGTTTCTGCCGTCAAAGAGCCGATATTTGGAGAGTTAAGGACAATAATTATAAATTAATATATAAAAATGAAGTCGAAGATAGCAGTGCACACCGAGCATTCTTGAACAGGCGTTGCTTGATCTTCATAATATTGTATAAAAAAGAAAAAAAAAAAAAAGGAGACAAAATATTAACGATTATGTATGAGTGTAGTTAGGGTTAAGACCAAAAAAAATCTATTTCTCCTCAAAAAGGCACGCACTTGATAAAAAGATAGCGAAAAAATACTTTTTTGGCATTTAAACACACTTAAAAAAACCGAAATATTCAAAAAGGTTTAATTTTAATTGGTTTCAACCATAGCCACATCAATTTTTTATAAATTTCCAAAGCGACATCAAAATTTATTGAGCAGTTTTTATGTAATTCAAGCACTCTCGCCCTAAAAAAAACATAATTCGTGAGAAATCACGCTTTAAGCTTTGATAACGTTCTTCTTCGGCTTTTTGAGACTTTACCACCAAACGATGCTTGGATTATACAGCACGCCTTCCTCGAACTTTTTACGTTACGTCGGCGTGCACTTCTTCCTCCCGGGTCACAGATCTCTGCACAGATCTAGCATCTTTGTAGGCGGTAGACGCGTGGTGCTCCAAGCGTTCAAAGCGATCTGCATAGCACCTTATGCAAAACTCGAACGTCGTGTTGCTAAATCGAATAATCATGACATCTACCGTACTGGCAAACCACATGAAACAGTCGTTGAGGATCACAAATTTTCTACCACATCTAAATCAATCTAATCTTCAAATTTAACAATTAGTTATTGTTTTGTCTATTCGCCCAAACACATCTTTCTAAGAAATTATTATTTGAGAGGTCTGATTGCCTCCTGCGCGTCCGTGAGCCTTTAACGACGCGGAACCACCAGTGCGATGATCACACTTTTCAACTATATCAAATATTTCCCACTTAAAACGGTTTCGTCTCCATAGACCCCATAGTATAAGATATCGAAATTTAAATACCGATACCGATTTTTAGGTACCGAGAAATAAGGTACCGATTTTTTTTTAAATTCCTAGACTCTTAAAGAACATTTAGAGGAGAGGTTTCATCAAGTTTGTCAAAAGAATGGAATTTAATACAGACGCCAATTAAGGAAGTTTTACAATACGATAAACTGAAACAGAATATCTGTAAATGATTTCGCCTTTTCTTTTGCGAATTTTCATTTCTCCAAAGAAGGGCATATCGCTCTATGTGTTGTCCATTTGGATAATCATCAAGTTAAAACTATGTTATTTTATGACCGTCGTTGAACAGCTGACCCAATTTTTGGGTTTACAATTACTAACGGCTCAGGGGATAGAGCGTTCGCCTTCCAATCAGGTGAACCGGGTTCAAATCCCAGCGATGACTGGTCGACACGAACTCCGACTACAACGCTGAAGTGAAATATCCTCTCTGGTAGGCGGATCAGGGGTTAGAATGCCCTTGCCGTTAAGCTAACCATGGGAGGTTCTCGTGGTCTTCTTCTCCATGTAACGCAAGCGCAGGTTAGTTCCATCAAATAGTTCTCCACGAAGGAAACATTTCTCCCAATACTTGATCCAATAGTCCCCTTGTCTTCAGGATTGGGTTCAAAACTATGTTATTGAATTTGATTCAACTTAAAATTGGTTCCTTGCTTTGAAATAAATCAAATTGCATCATTGTTTTCAAATATATTGATTTGAAAATCACGAAATATATCAAATGTATTGACTTAGAATAGTGTAACGAGCTAACGCAAAATAGTATTTTATTTAAAATTTGTCAATATTTATTCTCCTAAAGGCTTAGATTGAAATTGCTTTCCCTTTGGCTTTAAATACACCTTTATGAGTTGTAATGAATGACAACTTAATAAGTTATAAAGTTTGTCCACACTAGCCCCATAGCCACGATCTACTACGTAGCCACTATGTACAACGTAATTTTTCAGAAAAAATTATAATGGACAAAGTAAACAGTTTTTTATTTCCAGATTTAAGCCGGAATCCAGCTAATCGTTCATTTTATTGCCTAAAAATACTTATCGAGTTAAATATTATATTAAATATGGTTTTTCGACAAATTTGTAAGAAATAGCAAGCTTTTCCCAAAAGCCGCTAGTATAAGATATATTTTTGAATCATTTCAAAATAACCGAAGTCCATAAAGTACACCCATTACAGATCCCTAAGTGATATTGAAGTGATAAAAAGAAACAAAAGGGTTTCTAAGCTGTGATTGCAATTGTTATCCAATTGGATAAAAATAATTTAAATTATCCACTTACCATAGCAATTTCTTTTATGATAAAGTTTTATATCAGTTCTTAACGAAATGTGGTAGTATTCCAATCTAATTAAAGAAATATTAGGATTTGATGATTTTTATCTCGCTGTTCTTTTAAACTCTGGATAGTTGTGGTTAAATGTCAGAAAGAGTTCTTTTCACTTCACTTTTTAATTTACAATGTCTAAAATGAATTATTTCACTTATCTGAAAATATTTACAAAGCGCAGACATTACGTTACAAGCTAAGTTCACATATATGTATAGATTTTATTGCATTACCAATACAAATTTTGCCGAAATTAGCCTTTTAATTAAATTAAATATTGCAAATTTAATATAGCAAAGGGAAAAATCATTTTTAATTCAATATTAAGACCAAAAAAAAATTGCTACAACTTTAAATATTTGTTAAAAAATTATTTCTATAATTCGAAGAATTCGGCAAGTCTATTAGGCATATATTTGCATTTCATTCCATCATAGAGCGAAATCTTAGACAGCTCCATACTTTCATAGAAAGACATCTATACTTTCCCCCTATAGGTTATTGATTTCAAGCGTGTCAATGGATTCACAGACCTGCCCTGACTCCTTCAGACCAGACCGAAGAATAGTAAAACAATAGAGCGAAGCAAGATTTTTTTCAATTGTAGATTGATTTTTCATCTCAAGTTTGTTTACCTTTTGGATTTTTCTAAGTAAATTTCTAAGAAGAAAAATAATCAAGTTTATTTAAAATCACTGTAACCAAACAAAACATTTTACTT